ATGTTAAAAATTTCGGCAATTTTAATTTCCGGGCGAATAAAAGTAAAAAAATTCCAATATTGAAGGCTAATAAATATCCACGTTTTTTAAGCAATTTTGGAGGTTTCGGGGCCCGGTGTCGAAAAGTCGTTAGATTATAGGTGATACATCTCGGGGTCATATAATTCCGTTTGGAACCATATTTGATCATTATATGTTGTCATAAATGTTTGTGGTAGACTAAAGTTAATGAAATCGGCGTAAGTTGTAAATCAGTAAATTGTCCGTTTAAAGACAAATTGGATGGTTCCACCCACCCAATTGGACTCGTGGAGGGTATTAGAGATCATGGTAAATATTTTGGCAATTTTTTTTTCGGGCGAAAAAAAGTAAAAAAAAATCATTAATTGAAGGCTATATCCATGTTTTTTGAGAATTTTTTGAGTCTTTAGGGCCCGGTGTCGAAAAGTATTGAAATTCTAGGGAATACATCTCGGGATCATATAATGTCGTTTGAAACCATATATGATCATTATTTGTTGTTATTAATGTTCGTGGTAGGCTTGAATTAATGAAATCGGTGTAAGTTGTAAACCGGTAAATTGGTCGTTTAAAGGCAAATTGGATGGTTCCACCCACCGAATTAGACTCTCAAAGGGAATTAGGGACCATTGTAAACATTTCGGCAATTTTTATATCCAGGCCAAAAAAAGGTCAAAAAATTCTAAAATTGAAGGCTAATATCCATGCTTTTTGAGAAATTTCGAATGTTTCGGGGCCTGGTGTCGAAAAGCATTGAGATTTTAGGGGATACATATCGGGGTCATATAATGTCGTTTGGAACCATATCTGATCATTATATGTTGTCATAAATGTTCGTGGTATGCATGAGTTAATGATATCGGTACAAGTTGTAAACCGGTAAATTGATCGTTTAAAGGCAAATTGGATAGTTCCACCCAGACAATTGGACTCACGGGGGGTATTAGGGACAATGGTAAAAATTTCGGCAATTTTTATTTTCGGGTGAAAAAAAGTCAAAAAATTCCAAATTGAAGGCTAATATCCACGCTTTTTTTTGAAATTTTGGAGGTTTTGGGTCACACTCTCTCATCATCTTAATATATGTGCCTAAGTCACACGTCAACTAAATAGAAACAGAGGAAGTATAATATTAACTTTAAATAATGTCTAATCGCGCATAAGTATGTGCAAGTAATGCACTTATTTAGATATGGAAATTCATGTGACGAAAACTTGAAAAGGCCCAACTCGCCACAAGCGCAAATGATTGGAAAAGAAAAAAAAAAAAGGACCATGAATTATCAAATCTCAACTTCACGTTTTTATTTATCCACTATTTGCGAGCTAGATACTAGCAAGCAGAAGGGAGAATAATGAAATCCCTACCTCCAAATACCCTATGATGTCAGGTTTGTTAACGTGTTTTACAAATCAGAAACCACAAATCACCCTATATTGGGTTCCCTCCTTTCCTTGCTGGTTCGTGGATTCTACTCATTTGTCTCATTAACCTCTACGAAATAAACAAATCAATAACTGTGCACCAGAACAAAGACAATGATTATTAATCCCAAATCACATATAAAACGATTCTTTATTTGTGTCGGTAATGATATAGTAAAATAAGCAAGAAGCATGCATAATAATAATAATAATAATAATAATAATAATAATAATAATAATAATAATAATTGATTATGAGCTTAATGAGTGATAATATCTTAGAATTATTTTTTTCGGATGTACTACAATTTACAAATAACCCACAAGGGCGGTGATCATTATACATGAAGAGCCACGTGGCATTTTTAGTTTTTTTACATGTCGTCCAGCTTCACAAGTACTCGTACTCCATATCTTATAAAGTGAAGTGAGACGCAAAAGACAAATAAAACTAGAGTAAACTTGATTTCAATAATTTTTAAATATCATCTCCACGACTTTAATTTATGGGAAGCTCAAGAAGTTATTAATCCATGTGATTGTTTATCATATGAAATTTTGGTAAATAAATCATTAATTTTATCAAACATCATCACTGTATATAAAACCCGCTTTTAAGGAAAAAGTTATTGATTTATTCACAAAAATAATATATGTTTTAAAAAAAAAATTATTCATCTGAAAGATAAACTTGTAATTATTTCTCTAATTTAACCCGCCAAAATAGTTGATATCTATTATATGCATGTACCCGGAGTGAATATATTTAGTCCCAATATAGTCAACGCTCTAACATATTTGTATTACGGAGTATATATTATACACGTTGATCACGTTCAGCTAAAGTAGTTTATACATATATATAACCCCCTGTTAATAGTTTATTAGGGTCTGTTCATATTTACTTATTTTCAGTTCAGTTCAGTTCAGTTCAGCTCTTAATTTCCCTCTCTCATAAAATATTCATTTCAGCTTAGTTCAGTTCAGTTCAGTTCAGTTCAGTTTAGTTTAGTTTAGTTCAGTTCAGTTCAGTTCAGTTTAGTTTAGTTCAGTTCAGTTCAGTTCAGTTCAGTTCAGTTCAACTCAGTTCAGTAAATATGAACAGGCCCTTAGTCATACTTATTAATTAACTTATCCCTTTGCTTGTATTAGCATATACAGTTTCATAACTTACTCTAGCTTTATTGCATAATACGCCTATTTAAAGGCCTTCATTAGTTATTAGAAATACCAAATACATCATCAATTTTTCCAATAAAAATCTAGATTTGTAACCAAATTTGATTAAACCTCTCTTTATCTTCTTGTTTGTTGCTCTTCCGAAGCTTGTGTTTTTAGTATCGGTGCAGAAGTCATCACTGTTCCCCATTGCAATCGCCGAAAAACTTGTGCATGCGTCTAAGCTTCTAATAAGGTCTGTTTTTCATTCTTATTTATTTGGAAGTATTGTTTACGATTGATTTATTGCTTGAATCTTATATTTTTTTTAACTAACCCTTCAAATTAAATTTCTCATTCAGCGCTTATATTATGTTGTGGTATCATCCCTACAAATTTGCATCCATTCATGGATGGTCGAAAGGAATTACTCATCTTAGAAGCGCGACAACTGCTACGTACATATATACACCTAAGGCCTACTATAGTGATCATATGTGCTCTAAAGAAAAACAAAATCTTAATTTGCCTGTGGTTAACCGCGTTTCCGAATGTTTCATTAAGCCAAAGCATAAGATTGATGTGTCTAAGCAAATCTATCACTTAGCACCTCATGATCTTTCGTTGCTCTCTTTCCAATACATACATTTTGGTCTCCTATTCAACAAACCATCACATACAAAAAATCAATATTTTTCGATCCAATCGTTCTTAGATAGTCTAAAGAAATCTCTTTCTCTCACCCTCGATCATTTCCATCCACTAGCAGGTCAGCTTGTCACCGAGGTAGACGAAAACAAGCCTGAAAGCGTAGTGTATGTAGATTGTAACAAAGGTCATGGGGCTAGATTCATTCATGCCGATTTAGATATGACCATTTCCGATATTCTCTCACCAAAAGATGTTCCTTTGGTAGTTCAGTCACTTTTTGACCTTAATGAGAAGTTGGTGAACTACGACGGTCATTCAAAACCTTTATTGTCAGTTCAGGTCACTGAGCTATTAGACGGTATTTTTATAGCTTGTACGGTAAACCATAGTATTATAGATGGAACTTCATACTGGCATTTTTGGAACATATGGTCTAAGATACATAGAGGAAATAATGGTAAGGATACAATATGCGAGTCAGATCTACCTGTCTACACCCGTTGGTATCCTGATGGGCGTGCTCCCGGCCCTTTCCCAATTCCCTTTACTCACCCTAATGAATTTGTAAGAAAATTTGAGCCGCCACAACTTAGAGATCGGATCTTTCAATTCTCATCTGAGTCTATAGCAAGGTTAAAAGCCGTAGCAAACGAGCAAGGTTGTGCTAAAAATATATCTTCCTATCAGTCCTTGTGTGCTCTTGTTTGGAGGTCAATGGTTAGAGCAAATCGCGTACCTCATGATCAAGTTACATATAATCACTTAGCTGCCAACAGTAGAAGAAGATTAAATCCACCTTTACCAGAGTATTACTTTGGCAATTTTTGTCAGTTTCTCACATCTACTACAGCAGGTGAACTACTAGAAAATAATTTGGGGTATGCAGCCTCATTGTTGAATCAATCCGTGGTAAATTTCAATGATAAGGATGTCCGCAATTTTTATAATGTATGGTTAAAGTCTCCAAGTATAATATGTAATGCGGATATTCTTAACCGTAACAGTGTAGGAGTAGGAAATTCACCTAGATTCGATATGTATGGTAACGAGTTTGGGTTAGGGAAAGCAATAGCTTTTCGTACCGGACATGGAAAGTTGGAAACAATGGTGTTGGGTTAGTGTTTGCTTGCCCCGGAAGTGAAGGAGGAGCAAGTGTTGATGTTGAGCTATGTTTGTCACCTGATTCGATGGATGCTCTCGAATCGGATAAGGAATTCATGTCCTTTGTCTCATTGCCATAGTAAGGATGGTTAAGGTCTTCAAATACAGAACAATGCGTTAAGCTACCGAAGACTAAACAGGCCAAAGTATCCATTGTTCTTTATTTCTTCTGTTGTTATTTTCTTTAATGTTTCACTTCATTGTATTATTTAAAAGAGTTCTCCAGTTATTTGAATAATATTGTGATAAGTTTATCTACCTTAACGTCTTTGTCATACATACTTGTTGAGATATACAAAATATTTTATATCTCATAAATAATACCCTTTTATTGCACCTAATAAGAAACGGACAATATTCCTTTGCACACAAGAACTAACTTTTAACAATTTTACGTTATGTACATGTGGGAATAAATAATTTAGAGTCAAAAGAGCATATTAAGGTGACAACTAACAATTCATATGCTAATTATAAGTAAAATTCAAACTTTAATATTTTTTTCCCCTATAAAATTGGCACGCTATACTTCATGGCGGCTAAGGTGGCTATAAGTTATATTATTTCAAGATCAATGCATATGAAAAATTAATCTGCTACAAGTCAAAACACACCAAAAATTGAAAGATGGATTCTTCTAACATCATCCACATTTCCGAATGCTTTGTAAAGCCAAAATATGAGGTTGAAGAATCAAAACAACCATATCATCTGGCTCCTAAGGATTTATCCTTGCTTTCTTTCCATCACATCCAAATCGGGCTCATGTTCATTAAACCAACCCATCTAGATGACCATCGAGAGTTTTCGATCCTTTCGTTCGTTGATGGACTTAAGGAGTGTCTTTCTCTCACCCTGGTTCATTTTTACCCTCTAGCGGGTCAACTTGTCTTAGAAGTAGATGAAGACAAGCATGAATGTCGAATCTATGTGGATTGCAACAAGGGCCCTGGGGCTAGATTCATCCACGCGGCTTTAGGTGTGACCGTTTCTGACATTCTCTCCCCTAAGGACGTACCTTTGGTAGTCCAATCATTATTTAACCTCAATGAGGAGGCTTTGAACTACGATGGTCATACAAAACCTTTGTTATCGGTACAAGTTACAGAGCTCCTAGACGGTGTGTTTATTTCGTGTTCTATAAATCATTGTATTACTGATGGAACTTCTTACTGGCATTTTTGGAACAAATGGTCCGAGATACATAGAGTAAACGACAATAATAATCAAATTTGTGAGTCACGTCGTCTTCCAATAATCCATAACCGTTGGTTTCCCAACGGTTATAGTCCGCCTATCGCCCTCCCCTTTACCCACCGTGACGAATTCATAAGAAAATTCGAAGCTCCTCAACTTAGATATCGATTTTTTCATTTCTCGTCCAAGTCAATAGCAACACTTAAAGCCAAAGCCATTTATGAAAGTAATAACAACAAAATCTCTTCCTTTCAGGCCTTGTGTGCCTTTGTTTGGAGGCCAATGGTTCGAGCAAACCGATTACCTCATGATCAAGTTATTCATAACGGTTTACTTGCCAATACTAGGCATAGGCTAGATCCGCCTTTACCTGAATACTATTTCGGAAACTCTATTAAATCGATTAGTACAAGTACTACGGCAGGTGAATTACTCGAAAACAATTTAGGGTGGGCGGCATCATTGTTACACCACGGGGTGGCAAATCTGAATGACAAACTTGTGCGTGACTCGATCAATGAATGGTTGCAATCTCCTTATTGTTTACATCATGCAAAGTTGTACAACTATAACACGACAACGATAGAGAGATCGCCTAGATTTGACATGTATGGCAACGAATTTGGTCTAGGGAAAGCAGTAGCTGTTCGTAGTGGGTACGCAAACAAGGCTATAGGAGTAGTATATGCTTGTCCGGGGCACGAAGGGGGCGGAGCTGTAGATCTTGAGATATGTTTGCCACCTGATTCGATGAATGCCCTCGAATCAGACCAAGAGTTCATGGCCTTTGAAAATATATATATGTGTTAGAGATAAGAGCTAGATATTATCAATCTTTGAAAATATGTTTGTGTATTATGTTTACATATTGATTGATATTTGGAAATAGTACATTTGGATTATTCATGTTAATATATTTTTAGTGAAATATTTTATACATACTTCGGTGTACTGTACACTGAACTAACCTAACCAAAAGTTAGTTTTCACTTTTAATTTGATTTTTTTTAAATAAGCTATTTATTTCATAATTAAATGAAAAATAATGATCAAAATGAGAACAATATGTTTATGGGCGCACCCATATGCATCCGAATGTATATAACAAACTCTCACATGTTTATGGTATATCTACTAGGAAGATTATTTCGTTCCTATTGTATACTACCTTCCTTTCTTTTTAGTTGACGCGTTTCCGTTTGAGGTAACTTTTTTACCTTGTATTTACAAGTTACTTCACTTGCTTTATCATTCTCTCTCACCCTCTCTCCTCCCCTTAATATATGATTATATGTGTCTAAATCAAACATGTCAACTAAATAAAAACAGAGAAAGTATTATCTTAGATATTCTAGTTATTTGATGAATAATTACAAGCCACATATACTATTAACTTTTTATCAACTTATCAGTAGTATGTGTTGGGCAATCCGCAATAGCCAATCACCAATTCTGTGGTACCTTTTGAGATGTATTTTTTTTGGACTTTTATGATGACTAGCAAAATTTACTATGAGAATGTCTGCAGAAATTTCCAGTTATATATTTGACCATATCAATGGCTAAATTTATACACATTTGTCATTTGATATATTATATGGAGTACTTTGTTTTGTTTTCATTGTTCTTGTATATGACTACAATTTGTAACACGATGCATATTTTAGTATCGTTTAAACAGGTAAGCCTACATACTTTTTTTTCTTCTCTCTATTCGTAGTAACACAATGCATATTCTAGTATCATTTTATGGGTACATCAACATACATTTATTTCTCTATTCATTATAACACGAGGAAATACTAGTCAATCAGCCTGATTGATTTGGGATCTAATTCAGGGGGTATTTTTGACTTTTTAACTTCTAAGTATGGGGTAAATATGTCATTTAACACGGATGTTGCTGAAACGTTAACATGGACTTGGATTTGTTGACTGTCGAATTCGTCAGTCAAACTCGAACACTTCCGTTACTCTGGTAACTTCACTTTCCCAAACTGTGAACCCTAATTCAATCCCAATGCGAAATCATCTTCTTCGAACCTAAGTCGAACTCCTCTGCCAATTCAATTGTGGAGCAATCCCAACCAGTTCTTCGGACAATTGAATTCCAACCAGGTTTTGGTGTAAATTCAATCGACGAAATCGAATCATTGTATGCTACGAGTAGTTGTTTCCTTCTCAATGAATTTGTTTACATATCTTTTAACGTTTTCGAATTGCTTAATTACTAGTACGATTTCAAATTGGTTGATTGTTCATGAATTGCTTCACATTGTCTGCGTACTTGAATTGCTTGATTACTTTTTAGAATTGCTTGATTAGTGATGGTTATAATGTTCACTGTGTTTATAAGTACTGTTGAACTCAGTACAAATAACCCAATTTTAATTCAAAAAACCGGAATAAATTACCTGGGATTACAAGTAAACCAGTACAGTTGTGTTGCTCGATCAACTTTCGTTTAAGTCATCTTCCGAAAATCCAGTAGATCTAGATGAAGGGACGAAGAATTGAAGATAGCAATATGGATCAACAGATCTACCCAGTAGAGAAAGAGAGGAAGTATATATTTTGTTTTAAAATTTTCATTTACCCGTTTAACTTTGACTTCAGGACGTTACTTGCTACCGTAATTAACGCCCACTTTCCATCCATCAAAAATTCCGTACAAATGAATTTTATAATATTATCAAGTACAGTATATGGCCCATAATAGTGGCTGATTGACAAAATTTCGCCAATCAGGCTGATTGTCTGGGACGAGCTCTAATAACACAATGCATATTCTAGTATCGTTTATACGGGTAAACCAACATTTATTTATTCCTCTATTAATCAAAGGGTGTGTAAACCTACAATTATTTGATAAAAGAAAAGATAATTATAGTCATCATCAAATTATTCCAACACTTAGATTATTTGTATTTAATCAAGTTGACATTACTTACTAAATAAAAAATAGAGACCTAATTTAAAAATTGCCAAGCTAATTATGTATAAGATGGTTAAGAAAATCCTTTTCAAGCTAGACAGTACACATGTGAAGAATCATCCATATATACTCCCTCATCAACCCATTGTTCACCTAATTAAGCTACGTACATATTAATGAAAACAAAAACTAGAACTCACCAAAAAAAAAAAAAAAAAAAAAAAAACTTGAAGATGAATTCTTCTACCATTAATCACATTTCTGAATTCTTTGTGAAGCCAAAATATGTTGTTGAAGAATCAAAACACGAGCCTTGTCATCCTGCTCCCATAGATTTAATCATGCTTTCTTTCCATCACATCCAAGTCGGTCTCATGTTCACCAAATCTTCCCATCTAAACGATCAAGAGTTTTCGATCCATTCGTTCCTTGAAGGTCTCAAGGACTCTCTTTCCCTCACCCTCGTTCATTTCTACCCTCTGGCAGGTCAACTTGTCACGGAGGTTGATGAAGAAAAGCATGAATGTCGCGTCTATGTAGATTGCAACAAGGGTCCTGGGGCTAGATTTATCCACGCGGCTTTAGGTGTGACCGTTTCTGACATTCTCTCCCCAAAGGACGTACCTTTGGTTGTTAAGTCATTTTTTAACCTCAATGAGGAGGTTGTGAACTACGATGGTCACACAAAACCTTTGTTGTGTGTCCAAGTCACTGAGCTCCTAGATGGGGTGTTTATTGCGTGTTCCATAAATCATTGTATTACTGATGGGACTTCATATTGGCACTTTTGGAACAAATGGTCCGAAATACATAGAGCTAATAACAACCAAAATAATCAAATTTATGAGTCACATTGTCTACCAATCCACAAACGTTGGTTTCCCAACGGATGTGATCCCCCTATTCCCCTTCCCTTTACCCACTGCGATGAATTCATAAGAAAATTTGAACCTTCTCAGCTTAGAGATCGAATCTTTCATTTCTCATCCGAGTCTATAACAAGGTTAAAAGCCATAGCAAACAAGGAAAGTAATGCCGAAAATATTTCTTCCTTTCAGGCCTTGTGTGCACTTGTTTGGAGGTCGATAATTAGAGCAAGTCGACTACTTAATGATCAAGTCATCTATAGTGATATAATTGCCAATACTAGGCACAGGTTAGATCCGCCTTTACCTGAATTCTATTTTGGAAACTCTATCAAAGAGGTCACTACAAGTACTACAACTAGTGATTTACTTGAAAATAATCTAGGGTGGGTGGCATCATTGTTACACCACTCGGTAGCAAGTCTCAATGACAGATTTGTGCGTGATTCAATCAATGAATGGCTGCAATCTCCTTTTTGTTTACATCATGCAGAGCTATATGACTATAACAAGGTAACAATCGAACAATCGCCAAGGTTTGACATGTATGGCAATGAGTTTGGGCTAGGGAAGGCGGTAGCAATTCGTAGTGGGTATGCAAACAAAGCTATGGGGGTGATATATGCTTACCCGGGACATGAAGGAGGCAGAGCTGTGGATCTCGAAATATGCTTGCCACCTGATTCGATGAATACTCTCGAATTAGATGAAGAATTCATGGCCTGTGTATCATTGCCGGAGTGAGGGTGTACTATGTTCATCATATTAAAATTTTATTTAATTGTTGTCAAATTAATTTTCAAATTAGTTTACAATTATTGTTGAAATGCCATGAGCCTTTTTGGGGTTGTACATGGCTTGAGTTCTTGACTATTAGTATTATCTTTCTTGGTTTACACATAATAATTTGGTTTTTTACAATTAGCAAGGTTAAAATCTTTAACACAAATTTCATTGTAATTGGTCAATAACCATTAAATGAATGTATAATTGCATTACTTATCTAATGTTGCATTAATATTACATAAATAACAATACCTACCTTCTAAATCATACCATCTAAAGTTCTAAACGCCTAAAACACCATCTAAAATCTTAATTTGAAATAAATTTACTGTATATTTTCAATCTAATTAAGGAAAAATAAATCATTCTACAAATATTTTGTATTTTTATTAGACTATGTTTTATAAGTCCTATATATATATATATATATATATATATATATATATATATATATATATATAATACCATTGATTAATTTATGAGGAAGGAGTCCACATGAAGGTACTATCTTATTATTCAAGTAAACATTTACACGTAGGACCTTATTAGCAAATATTCATATTCGTTACAAAAAAATTAAAAAAAATATTACTCCCTCTGTATTCAATAACATAACTAGAAGAAAAATTATTGTACAGAGTACTAAAACATCTCATAGCATGTTTGAATTTCATCAAAAACTTAGCTTACTAGATTCCCAATGATCCCATAGCCTTGGCTCTCTGTCTAAGAATAACCTTCTGGAATTTTCCAGTCGATGTCTTCGGAATTTCATCAAAAATGACGGTCTTAGGAGCCATGAAACGAGGCAAATTATTACGGCAAAATTCAATGATCTCTCCCTCATTAATCTTGTATCCATCCTTCAACTTGACAAACGCGCAAGGTGTCTCCCCCCAGTGATTATCAGGCCTTGCCACGACGGCTGCCTCAAGTATAGCCGGGTGACTATATAGTACCGTCTCAACTTCAATTGTGCTAATATTCTCTCCACCGGAAATGATAATATCCTTTAAACGGTCCTTGATTTCTATGTAATTGTCGCGGTGTTTTACAGCTACGTCACCAGAATGAAACCATCCTCCTTTGAGAGCTTCCTTTGTTGCTTTTAAGTCCCTCAAGTATCCACTCATTACAGTATTTCCTCTGAACATTATCTCCCCCATTGTTTTACCTATTCATGCAAATTAAAATTAAAATTTGCCTCTAAAATATCACATGTAAAAAAGTTACATTGCAACACATTAAAAAAAAAAAAGGTTGTTAATATAGCAATATTACCATCAGCTGGAACACTTTCCATTGTGATAGGATCTCTAACGTCAACATCTTCTAGCCCAAGATGTTGTACACCTTGTCTAGCTTTGATCCTCGATTTTTCAATTCGATCAAGAGAGTCCCACTCGGGATTCCAAGCGCAGTATGTGCCCGGGCCATAAGTCTCCGTGAGACCATACATGTGAATAACTTCGAAGCCTAATTCTTCCATCTTGGTTAGTATTTGAGGTGGCGGGGGTGATCCTCCGGTGAGCACCCTTACCTTGTTTGGAAGTGTTCTTTGGTCATCGATAGAGGAGTTTACAATCATGTTCAAAACGGTAGGAGCTCCACCAATGTGAGTGATATTGTGGAGGACAATGTTATCAAATATGGCCTTAGGGGTGACCTTTCGAAGGCATATGTTCGTGCCCCCTTGAGCCGCCACACCCCACGTAAGGCACCATCCATTGCAATGGAACATAGGGACGGTCCAAAGGAATGTCGGCCTTGGACCCATTTCATGAACCAAAATTGTGGAGATGGCATTTATGTAAGCCCCTCGGTGATTGAAAACAACTCCTTTGGGACGGGATGTGGTGCCTGAGGTGTAGTTGACGCTAATAGGGTCTAATTCATCGATTGGCATTCGAGGTTTGTATTGATCGTCTCCTTTGGATAAGAGATTCTCATATTCATAATCATATCGAACATTCTCATGTTCTTTAAAATCACTAGGACCTTTAATGAGGACAATTGATGGTAATTCTGCCCCGGATTTTGACAATAAATGGAGGGCTTTTGAAGCAATGTTAAGTAATTGATAGTCTACAAATAAGACCTTAGCTTGGGAATGATCAAGGAGGGTGGAGATCATGGATGAATCAAGGCGAGAGTTAAGAGCACAAAGAATGGCTCCGGCCATTGGTGCTGCAAAATGTAGCTCATAAATAGCAGGCACATTCGGAGATAATGTTGCAACCTACACGATCACAAAATGAAAAAGATAATGAGTCACATTAATTGTTTAACAATTAGACACCTAAATGGTTATGAAAATCAATTTTTTTTTTAAGTATGCTTAACTATAAGTCAAAAACTCTAATAGTGACTAATCTTGTTAGTCAACGGATAAGAGTTTCAAGAAAGTGATGAAAGAAATAAATAACATACTACATACGTATATGTTTGGACCAATATAAACTTCCATGTGTAAATTTATTTAATTCCCAAATTTGTCATTACACAGCTAGGAGCTAGCTAAGGTGTGTTTAGTCCAATTTCATATGCCATATTTTGATAACTGTTATTTATTCTACTGCCCTACGTAACAAGGGTTCGTTATTGCATCTTTTATAAATACCTATTTTCTCCATTTGTTTTAATATTGCATCACTTGCCTTTAAAAGAAATTTCACAAATATTCCACGGTACCATATCTATTTTAGGAAACATAAAATCATTAAATATCAAAATTTAAGTAAAATTTGCCATATAAAGTACTTTAACAATCTAGCTAATCTATATCTATATCTATATCTATACTTAGTATTTAAAAACACAAACCATCATCCCCATCATGCCACATGTAATTAAAATTTATTTTTCACCAATGCCACATGTTACTCCCTTCATTAATTAATCCCCTTTCTTATTATTTTAAAAAAGAACTAGCTTTAATTCAATACATGTAGGAATGTTCCCTTCAAAAGAAAAAAAAAACATATATGAATGTTATTTGATTCATTTTCCCCCAACTTAATATCTCTACAATTACATTCAATTATCACCACTTCTTCTCTTTTATAAACTATTCATTTTCCAATTAAAACATATTATAAAACAAAAGTTACTATTGTACCCCTTATAAACATCCCGTGCATTGCACGGGTCAGAAGGCTAGTTCTTATTTAATTAAGATGATGAAAGCAAATTAAAACATACGAGCTGGCTAGGAGAGATGCGAAGGTGAGTGGTGAGAGCGGAAGCAAGTTTGAGACAGCGCCAATAAGTCTCACTCCAAGTGTAGCTAGAACCACCATAGACAACGGAAGTATCATAGGGAAACACCTTGGCAGCGCGTTTAATGAAGGTTATTGGGGTCAAAGGAGTGTAGTTAGCCGGACACCTTACTAATCCATCCACCTTTCTCCACGACGAATCTCCCCCTTCCTCACCATCTCCACCAATCGAGTCTAAAGAAACACGTATTCGTGATTTTGGTGGTGGAGTTAAGATTACTCTAGGGGCGCTTACACCCACAAACTCACGCTTGTTATAACGTGTGAAGTTTAGAATCATTATCGTATAATTTGAAGTGGCTCGATTGATCAAACCTTTAGTATGGTGTGAAGATGATATAGTATGACAAATATGTATAGGAAGGAAGCATTAACATTATGCGTAAGAAAAAGATCAACGTAATTACGTAACGAATACTTAATATAATTTAGTGGGCGCTTTGATTTGTATCTTTATTAATTATTAATTACAACCCGATCAATTCAAATTAAAGTAGGGTGATAGCCAAATTGATTACGCTAAAATGTATAATTATAAAATAATGATAAGTAGCTTCAATTTCAAAGACAACTAATTTTCTTTGAATACTTAACAAAATGAATTAAGAACGGGTCCATTTCTATAACTACCAGTATTTGAACATATGAGTGGCAAATAAATTTCACTAATAAAAATTATTAATTAAAAAAAGTTGAACCCGATCAATTCAAATTAAAGTAGGGTGATAGCCAAATTGATTACGCTAAAATGTATAATTATAAAATAATGATAAGTAGCTTCAATTTCAAAGACAACTAATTTTCTTTGAATACTTAACAAAATGAATTAAGAACGGGTCTATTTCTATAACTACCAGTATTTGAACATATGAGTGGCAAATAAATTTCACTAATAAAAATTATTAATTATTAATTAAAAAAAGTTGAACCGTAAATTGGACCGGGATTTTGAACCCGACGTTAATCGAACACGCAACCTTCTGATCTGGAGTCAGACGCGCTACCATTGCGCCACGGATCCTTTTGACATTCTTTGACAATTTTATAATTAGGACTTTATCTTTTGCAAATCTAAATATTTAATCCTTTTTATTTTTGTAATCTACTCTGTATGATTGACTGACAGTTTATCATGTATTCATGTGTGAGAGATGGGCTTGTAAATGGACTATTAAGATTATAAAATGGGTTTGATAAATTTTTCTGGGCTGAATTTTGATACTATTGTCTTTGGGCCTTTGATCCAAGTAGTTCAGGCTTATAGAGAATTCATCTCACGTGTCTGTAAAGCCAATCAGCTTATTGGTAAAATGAAAGTAGTCTGCAATAGTAGAATAAGAAGCACGTGGGCCTAAATGGGCAGCCACGTATCTTAAGTCTTAACAATCGAAATGGACACTGATAGCCTGGTAGTTATAGTTGCCTTGTGTGACCCAATTCGGACACCCAAATTAACATCTGTAATCTATGATGAGTCTTTTTTTGGACAAGTACTTTGTGATGAGTTGATGACCAACCTTTTTACTATACAATTCTCTTAGGGCTTGTTCTGATTCATTGAACTGAACTAATTGAAATTGAACTAAACTGAATATTTTATGAGAGAAACAAATTGGAAACTGAACTGAACTGGAGAAAAAAAAAAAAAAAAAAAAAAAAAAAAAAAAAAAAAAATTGAAGAAAGCAAGCCATTATTCCTAAAACATGAAATATATTGTACATCCCCCATTCCCCCTCCTCCCTAATTATAATTTTCCTATTTTCCTCCAAAATTTGGAGGGAAATGGTTGTTGGAAAGTAATCTTTGCATCCAAATTTACCTTATTTTCATCCGGTCAAAACTAAACAAACACATACAGCCATAGTTCCACTAATTCAGGGACTCTATTAATACGGAGTAGGGGTGAAACAAATTCGGTTTAAAACCAAACCGAACCGAAAACCAAACCGAATAACAAATATGGTTTGGTTTTTTTTTAAGGTGGTTTGGTTTCGGTTTTGAAAAAAAAAAATCGGTTTTTGGTTCGGTTTCGGTTTGAGAAAGTGAAAAACCGAAAAAACCGAGCCAAACCAAAATATAGGCCCAAACCCAAAAAATAACCCTAGCCCAACAGATTTACCCTAAGTATATAAATGAAAAAAAAAAACCCTAATTCTCTCATTTCCTCTTCTCTCTTCTCCGCGGCTCCACGCTTCACCCTTCTCTCCTCTTCTGATCTTCTCAGTCTTCTCACTCACTCTCCTTTCCTCTTCTCAAGTTCTCAGTTCTTAGTTCTCACTTCTCCCCCTTCACTCTCTCTCCTTTTCTCTTCTCACTTCTCCACCTTCCATTCGCATCACCATCGACTAACCTTTCGAGGATTTTCGAACTCCATCAAGGGCATCAACTAAAGGGCTTTCATGTCAAATTCGACCATGAAAACACTAGATCTAGTGTTTTCATGGTCTAATTAGACTTTGAAACCCAAATTTGAGGAAAGGGCCGTTGTGTAGGGGTTTGGTATGACTGCTCTTTTGCAATTCTGCTGCTGTTCTTGTTAAAAACTTGTTCAATTATGTTGTTAAAACTTGTTTGTATGAATTGGTTGGTTTGATTTTGTTACTTTGTTGTTAAAAATTGTGTAATTATGTGTATGGATTGGTTTTGATTTGATTTTGTTAAAAGTTGAAACTTGTTGAATTAGAAGTTTTAGAACTTGTTAATGATATTATGCTACTACAGTACTGCTTTGTTGATGAATGAGGCCAAAAAAATTGCAGATTATTGGCCCAAATAAATTAGGCCCAAAAAATTCGGTTTGGTTCGGTTTCTTATTATGAAACCGAAATGAATATGGTTTGGTTTGGTTCGGATTCTAAAGTAAAGTGGTGCGGTGTGGTTTTAACAAATACAGAAACCGAATTAAAGTGGTTCGGTTTCGGTTTGGGCAAAAAACCAAACCGAAAACCGAACTTTCACCCCTAGTACGGAGTCATAGAAAATAAACGAAAGGAAAAGGCGGCCAAGTAATCAATCTACACATCAATCTCTTTGATTGTTGCTCAGAAGCCAGCCTAATTTGAAGACTTGAACTTATTCAAAGTCATAAACTTTGTTTTTACTTTTAAAACTTAAAAGAGTGGTTTGTAGAACTTACCGGTATAAGTCTATATTATGAGCACTTGCGCATTATTAAAAACTTTGAAATGAAAGAATTTTATGGGACAATCAAGAATAGACGAATTGTATTACATTGGGATAAAAAGTTAAACACATGACTTTTTATCCCAATGTTAACACTTGACTTATTCAACTACTCCTTGCAATTTTTTTTTTTTTTTTTTTGAGTGATTAGTTATAACTCATAAGACAATAACATAAACAAGATTTTGTTTCATTTAGTAACTTAGTAACCAAATAATTCTCTCAACACTTAATAGTATAGGCAAATTAATTGGCTTCCGAACCACTTTGTTATTATGACATAAGAAATAAATGAAATTAACACAAACAAGATTGAGTGAGATGTGTCCACAAATAGTTGAAAAATAGACCCAAAATTAAAATACCGTACTCCACATAATAATTACTTTGTATAATCTTGTAATAGTCATTTGAAAGAGACAAATCGATTAAAGACATACTAATTACTAACACAATTAAATATTACACACTTCATGAAAATTACCCAAAGTCCACACATATTATAAATTGATGGAAATACTTGGGGCACGATGGAAAGTAAATAAAAAATATAAAATAAAAAAATAAAATCTTAGGGATTTTATTATTACTCTGTACTAAAGAGAGGGTGTATGCGTGTAGTTGATTTGATCACTTGAGGCGCCCACATCACCTCCAAAACTACAAATGTCGTCATTGCTTAGTGATACTGCAAAAAGAGCTATTTCCTAGAAACTAGCAACAACTTACTCCATTTTTCTAATACAATTGGCCTCACATACTCTATATATAACAACTTAATTTATCGATGAAACCTATGCTCATTTCTCAAACACAATCACCCAAAAATCCACAAAATGAGTGCAACAACAGCTAAACACATTTCAGAGTGTTTCATCAAACCAAAATATGAAGTGGAAGAAGCCAAAAAACCATACTACTTAGCTCCAATGGATTTAACCATGTTTTGTGTTCATTACATCCAAAAAGGTCTACTCTTTACCAAACCATCCCAATTTAATGGTCAACCATACTCAACCCAAAACCTCCTTGAAAGTCTCAAGGACTCCCTTTCACTCACCCTTGTCCATTTCTATCCCTTAGCCGGCCGCCTTGTTACACAAGTCGACGAAGATCAACACCAATGTCTGATCTTCGTCGATTGTAACAAGGGGCCAGGAGCGAAACTTATCCATGCCACGTTAGATATGACCGTGTCTGATATACTTTCACCTACCGATGTCCCTTTAGTGGTCCAATCATTTTTTGACCACGACAGGGCTGTGAACCATGATGGTCATAACGAGTCGTTGTTGACAATTCAAGTCACGGAACTCGTAGACGGGATCTTCATCGGATGCTCTATGAACCACGCCTTAGGAGACGGAACCTCGTACTGGCTTTTTTGGAACATGTGGTCCGAAATACATCAATCAAAACACAAAGAATTAGTCCCTGTGTCACGTATGCCAGTACTTGAACGTTGGTTTCCTAAAGGGTATGGTCCGACCCTTTACTTACCATATGTCCATCCAGATGAATTCGTTACTCGACACGAAGCACCTCGATTAAGGGAGCGAATCTTCCACTTCTCACCCAAGTCAATGGCAAGACTTAAAGAAAAGGCCAACGAAGAAAATATTGGTAATAATATCAGCACGATATCATCCTTTAAGGCCTTATCAGCATTGTGTTGGCGAACCATTGTTCGTGCAAACGGCTTGTCTCGTGACCAAGTCACAAATTGTAGATTAGCTACTAATAATAGGCACAGATTAGACCCGCCTTTGTCACCAGAGTATTTTGGTAATTGCATAAGCGCAATGGCAACACCTACCACAGTTGGTGAGCTACTTGACAACAACTTAGGATGGGCAGCAGCGTTGCTGCATCAGTCAGTGTTAAATCACAGCGACAAAGTCGTGCGCGATTTTGTTAATAAATGGTTGCAGGCTCCTTATGTATACCCAATGGGGATGTTCGACAGTTCCAGTGTGATGATGGGAAGTTCGCCGAGGTTTGACATGTATGGGAATGAATTTGGACTCGGAAAAGCTATAGCTCTTCGAAGTGGGTATGCTAATAAGTTTGTTGGGAAGGTGACTTCTTATGAAGGATATGAGGGTGGAGGAAGTGTGGATTTAGAAATATGTTTGCCACCGGATTCGATGAAGGCTCTTGAATCAGATGAGGAATTTATGAGTGCTGTCTCTTCTCCTAGTATAGATAATGTCACAATTTAAGTATCCTATTCAACCATTTTGTAGTTTTCATTTGTAGTTTAGCAGAAATGTATCTATGAATTCTGTCACTTTTTACAATGTTAAACTTCAAGTGCATCAGGAAAATGGATCTCTGAAGACTGCAGTGACATAATAGAGATAGTCTGTCAGAAATCACATTAATCTGAAAATTTTCCCAAGAAAATGTATCTTATAGGCTAACGACGACTTATGCAAACTGAGTGCCTAGAACAAAACACAAATGAAACAACATGATCATTAATCCATTGAATAAAATTCAGCAGCTGTTGATCAGGTCAAAAGGCGATGACAGTACAGCAGCCAGCCGGCTCTGCACATTGTTTATTTGACCAACAATGGCAAGAATTGTGATGAATAGGAAGCTAAAACAACAGGCTCCCAGAAGAGTAGAAAACTATTATTACAGGCAACTAGGTGATATACTAATTATATTTGCACACACCTTCAGAGTATCCTAGATAGGTTATAACATGTCAAGGATGAAAATAATTTTTTTGTTTCACATTCTATAAAATTCATTTGACTGTATAAAAAATAATTGAGGCAGCTTTTGCAACTCGCCAACTCTATTTAAAAATTGCAGAATCATAGCAGCATAATTTTGAGGATGCTACTCCCTTTGGTTTTAATAAGTGTTACAATTTACTATAAAAATTTTTAAAAAAAAATCACAATTAGACCGACACATAATTTTAGACAATTTAATTGACTTAAATAAAATAAGAGGCAAGTGGGGTAATTGGAGTATAAAAAAATGATGGAGTTAATAGTTTTATTGAAAAATAATGAATATGAGCGGAAAAATATAATAAAAAAGGTAGCAGTGGGTTTAGGTGGGGACTATGAGAGATAAAGATATACTCCGTAATATATATATGTGTACTAGTTTTTTGCCAAAAAAAAGTAAGTGTAACACTTATTAATACACAACCAGATTTGACAAGTGTACTCCCTCCGTGTTTTTTTAAGTGTTACACTTTGACCGGCACATAGTTTTATGCAAATTTAATTGACGTAAATAAATTAAGAGGTAAGTGGGATAGTTGGAGTATTAAAAAATTGTAAAAGAAAGATAATGGAGTTAATAGTTTATTGAAAAGTAATGAATGTGAGAGGAAAGATATAATAAAAAAGGTAGTAGTGGGTTTGGGTGGGGACCATGAAAGGAGGGATATATAATATTTTAATATAGTTTTTTGTCAAAAAAGGAAGTGTTAACACTTAAAAAAACACAGCCGGAAATGGGAAGTGTAACATTTAAAAAAACACGGAGGGAGTTACACGTACTTATTAAAACATGAGGGAGTAATAGTGACGTATATATACAGATGATGGCTTTTGCAAATTGCAAGACCATGCACATAGTATTATACTAATTCAAACTTCATTACAAAATATGAATAATTTTAGAAATTTAATATAATGAGAAAAATGCATTATAAAATCTTCCAAGATTTGATATGGTGGAAGGCAACCTTTGTAAGTCTTAAATTAAACTCTCTGAATAAGATATGGTGGAAGGCAACCTTTGTAAGTCTTAAATTAAACTCTCTGAATAAAGGACTTCATCTGTGTTCCCCTGCAACTCAGAAGGTCCTAGTCATTAGAAAATGAGTTCAGAGATTGCTAAATATGTCTCAGAATGTTTCATCAAGCCGAAGTATGAGGTGCAGGAAGCCAAGCAGCCTTACTACTTGGCTCCCATGGATTTGGGAATGCTCTTTGCACATTACATCCAACAAGGCCTTCTTTTCGCAAAACCATCAAACTTAGGCGATGAACAATTCTCCATCCACAAACTCCTACAGAGTCTGAAGGACTCTCTTTCTCTGACTCTCGTCCATTTCTACCCATTAGCAGGTCAACTTACCTCTCTAATGGATGAAGCGGGGCAAAAATGCTTGGTCTATGTCGATTGTAACAAGGGTCCTGGTGCAAGGTTCATCCATGCTACCTTAGACATGACCATATCTGACATACTATTACCAACTGATGTTCCTGAAGTGGTCCAATCATTTTTTGACCATGAAGGAGCTGTTAACTATGACGGTCACTACATGTCTTTGTTAACGATCAAAGTTACTGAGCTCTTAGATGGGGTTTTCATTGGCTGCTCCATGAATCATGCCCTTGGAGATGGGACCTCATATTGGCATTTTTGGAATGTGTGGTCCGAGATTCATAGAGCAAAGGCAGGGGAATCAGTTCCTGTGTCCCGTATGCCAATCCATAATAGGTGGTTTCCGGATGGATATGGTCCAGCCATTTACCTCCCACTGATCCAACCAGATGACTTTATTAGCCTGCAGGAAAAACCTGATCAACTCAGAGTGAGGATATTCCATTTCTCATCTGATTCTATAGCAAAACTGAAAGCTAAGGCAAATGAGGAACATAATCATAACAATACTAGCAGCGAGATCTCATCCTTTCAGGCCTTGTCAGCACTCTACTGGAGATCAATCATTCGAGCACTTAATCTAGCTCATGATCAGGTCACAAATTGCAGATTAACGACCAATAATAGGCACAGATTAAATCCACCACTGCCTCAAGAGTACTTTGGAAACTGTATAGGCGCGTTGAAAACAACTACTACAGTTGGTGAGCTACTTGAGCACAACTTAGGGTGGGCAGCATCATTGTTGCACCAGTCTGTGACAAATTATGGTGATAAAGTAGTGCGTGATTTCATCCACAGGTGGCTGCATTCTCCTGCAGTTTTCAAGCTCGACGTTTTGACAGACTGTTATAGTGTAATGATGGGGAGCTCTCCAAGATTCGACATGTATGGAAACGAATTTGGACTAGGAAAGGCAGTAGCAGTACGTAGGGGTTACGCAAACAAATTTGTTGGAAAGGTTACTTCTTATCCAGGAGTGGAGGGAGGAGGAAGTGTGGATTTGGAAATATGTTTACCTCCTCATTCCATGGAAGCTCTTGAATCAGATGAGGATTTTATGAATGTTGTCTCATTGCCGCTTAAAGGGTAAGATATTACAAAAAATTTCGTATGTAGCAAAGCACAGAAATTAACATACTTGTATATAGCACTTCTTTACCTAAGACAATTCTTATCAAAGATATATTTGATAAGTTTGTGATGATCACTACTAATTTTACTGTATTTAACTCATGTTTTTTGAGCTTCACTTATTTTTACTTCAATTTTTTTTTTAATTAAAGGTGAAGAATATATCCTAATTAATATCATAAATTATAATCAAAGATTAGATAAATACAAGCTATCAATGAAGAGTACAAGTACCACAATACAATGGACCTATGATGTTTGTGTAAAAGTGTTCAGTAAATAGCTATTAACATTAGTTGATTTCATGTATGTAATATTAAAAACTAAATATTGAATGAGCTAATTTTAAAAAAGTTTATTTTTGAGCTTTTTCAAAACCAACATTTCAAGCCAAAAAACAAAATATTTTAATAAGCTATTAACCTAATGCTCAAATCAGTTTTTTTTATTTGGTCAAACATCTTAAAAGGCTCAATAAACTAAAAGCTATTGAAAAATCACTTTTACCAAACCAGACTAATACAAAGTATAAAAAGATGATTCATACTCCGTAGTACAGTAGTAAAAAATACGAAGTATATCCTATATCATCCTTTGTCATATCGGTGTGTCAATTTATTTTAGAACCCGTTTTTCCAAAATCAAATTGTAATCATATATTCATAATTTCATATCCATGTTTGTATCAATTTTAATGTAACAACATTTTTTAAAGAATATTTTAATGTAACAACTAACAATGGCCTAGGGCCTGTTCTCATAAACTGAACTCGGCTGAATTGAACTGAACTGAATTGAAATGAATATTTTATAAGAGAAAGAAATTAGGAGCTGAATTGAACTGAACTGAGCTGAGCTAAGCTGAACTGAATTTCAATGTATGAGAACAGGCCCTTAATCATGGTTTCTCTTGGTGCCACATAGACACACATCAATAAATAATCTTGAGTCTTGACGCCGCACCTACAAATAATCATAATTTTAAGATCTTCTATTTCAAGGATCACAAATATGGCCTACATCAATAAAAGCCACTGGTAATACTCACAACTCCAGTCTAACTTTGGCCTCTCTTCTGCTATTTTATATTATTGGGAAAGAAAAAAAAAAGAAATAAATTAAATTTTAAGTTGTTTTGAGTCAAGCCATTTAGCCAATTTGGGATAATTAATCATGGATTCATGTGATTAATTATAAGTATTTCATTATGATTGGTTAGTGCTTCGTATTATGTATTGACTTAAGGATTAATAATGATCATAGTCTTTCTTATTTTATACAACTATTCATCATGGTACATAATTATTTATATGTTAATCGAGCTATATTCGAAGGTAGATTCCTCTATACTCTACTATCAAACTCACATTATACCATACCATAATATTAACAAAATACTACAAGCCATTATAAATTGACTTTAAAGATTAATAATAGGAAATTTTCACATTTGCTACCACCTAAAACGCCTCGCTTCAGATTTGCTATCTATTTAAATTTTTTTTTCACTTTGCTACCACCTAAATCAAACTTTGTTAAAAATCACTACCACTTGACGGAATCCGTTAGGATTTCCGTTAAGTTTATTTAAAAAAAAAATTAAAAAGATTTTTAAAAAATTAAAAAAAACTAGCAACCCCACCCACCCCCTCCCCTAATCTACCACCCTCTCCCTCCCCTAATCTGCCACCCTCCCCCACCCCCTTTCCGGCGACTGGCGCCTAAAGATTCGGCCGGCGCCGGCGACCTCACCCCCTCCCTTTTCCCCACCCAAAATTGACAATTCTAATCCTAAGACGACACCCCCAAACCCAGACCACCACCGCCACCGTAACCCCCAAAACCCATACCAACACCACCGTAACCCCCTTTCCCCTTTCCTCCACCGGAAATCGGCCCCCTCCCCTGATTCCCCCACCGAAATCGACCCCCTCCCCTTCCCCTACCCTTTTCGACCGTCCCTAACCCTAAACCACCACCCCAAAACCACCCTAAACGAAAACCACCCCAAAACCACCACAACCGAAACCTAAAATTCGTTTAGGGTGGTTTTGGGGTGGTGGTTTAGGGTTAGGGACGGTCGAAAAGGGTAGGGGAAGGGGAGGGGGTCGATTTCGGTGGGGAATCAGGGGAGGGGGGCCGATTTCCAGTGGAGGGAAGGGGAAAGGGGGTGGTTTTCGTTCGGGGTGGGGGTCGGAGCTCAAGAACGGGAAAGGGAAAGGGGGATTGGATGCGCATAGGGTAGGGGAAAGGGAGGGGGTGGGTTCGCGCGACGGCGTCGGCGCCGGCAGGGGGAGGGGGGAGGGGAGGGGTGGCAGTGACGAGGAAGGGTGGCTGCAAGGTGGCTGGAGGGGTGGCTAAACGGTGGAGTGGGCCCACTAACGGAAATAGTAACATAATAAGGCATGTGGTAGTGATTTTTAACAAACTCTGTTTTAGGTGGTAGTAAAATAAAAAAAAATAAAAAATTTTAACAGGTAGCAAATGTGAAGCGTGGTGTTTTTAGTGGTAGCAAATGTGAAAATTTCCTTAATAATAATCAGTCTTTTACTATTACTACTACAAGCTATTATTGATTTTGAGCACAACTGTTATCTTCTCATATATGCATGTCTAATTTTCACTAGTACTCAATATATATAGGCCTAAGCCTTACTATTGCTGCAATAAGGCTCTTTGAATAGCTCAAAATACCCTATCTTCCTATAATCTTAATTATTCTTAAATCACAAATATGAGCTCAGAAACTGTTAAACACGTTTCGGAATGCTTCATCAAACCAAAGTATGAGGTGCAAGAAGCCGAGCAACCTTACTACTTGGCTCCCATGGATCTGGCCATGCTTAATTTCCACTATATCCAAAAGGGCCTCCTCTTCATGAAACCTTCACATATAAATGATCAAGAATTCTCGACCAGCAAACTCCTTCAAAGCCTGAAGGAGTCTCTTTCACTCGCCCTTGTCCATTTTTACCCATTGGCAGGGCAGCTCAGTACATGTATCAGCAAAACTCGGCATGAATGCTTGGTCTTTGTAGACTGCAACAAGGGTCCTGGAGCTAGGTTCATTTATGCCACGTTAGACATGTACATGTCTGAAATTATGGCACCGGTTGATGCTCCTCTGGTCGTTCAGTCATTTTTTGACCATGATCGGGCTATTAACCATGATGGTCATAAAAGGCCTCTGTTATCAGTTCAGGTTACTGAGCTCAAGGATGGGGTTTTTATCGGTTGTTCCATGAACCATGTGCTTATAGATGGAACCTCATATTGGCATTTCTGGAAAATTTGGTCCGAAATACATAGAGCTAATGGCAAGCAGCTTCTTGTTTCACGTTTACCCAATCATAAACGTTGGTTTCCTGATGGGTATGGGCCGGCTATCCCCCTCCCCTTTACTCACCCAAATGAATTTTTAAGCAGGTATGAAGTAGGTCAGCTCAGAGAGAGAATCTTCCATTTCTCCCAAGAGTCTATAGCAAGACTAAAATCCAAGGCCAACAAAGAAAGTAATACCAACAACATTTCCTCCTTCCAAAGCCTCTCAGCACTTGTCTGGAGATCAATTGTCCGAGCAAACTGCCTATCTGAAGATCAGATCACAAATTGCAGATTTGCTACAAATAACAGGCAGAGGTTAGATCCTCCTCTGCCTCTAGAATATGTAGGTAACTGCGTTACAGCAATGATAACAACTACTACTGCTGGGGAACTACTCGGGCACAACTTAGGATGGGCAGCGTCTTTGTTGCACCAGTCAGTAGTAAACCACAGTGACAAAATAGTGCACAAATTCATCGATGGATGGCTCCAGTCCCCTTTTGTTTACCGGCCAGGCAAAATGTTCGATCCTTACAGCGTAATGATGGGAAGCTCACCAAGATTTGACATGTATGGAAATGAATTTGGTCTCGGGAAAGCTGTGGCAGTTTGAAGTGGGTAAGCAAACAAATATGTTGGCAAAGTGACTGCTTACCCAGGATATGAAGGGGGAGGAAGTGTGGACCTAGAGATATGTCTACCACCAAATTCAATGAGTTCTCTGGAATCAGATGAAGAATTCATGGCTGCAGTAACAATACAGCACTGTGGATATCAAAGAAGGCATCCCCAAGACTCCAAGAGGCATGATATGAAAACAATCTAGAATAAATTTGATGAAACCAGTAAAATGTTTAAGATGCATCTAAATTTTAAATTTCAATTCATTCATTGCTAATTTTGTTTTTGTATTGATAAAGCAATACATGTTAAACCATTAAAGTAATCTGTAAGACTTGAATATGAATAGAAAGAGTTCCAGATTATTTTAAAAGAAAAAAAATTGATCCCAAAATTATATGTACCTAAAAATTAATAATTGCCTCTTTAAAGTGACCTGTAGCTAACTCATCTAGTAGCAAAGAACACAAATCAACAAATAATTGTAAGATGCTTCTTTAGCTAAGTAAAATCACCACAATCTCGCTAAAGAGTTCCATATCCAAGAGAGAGCTCAATGCACGAAAAAGATTCACAGAGACCAATCTGCTTTCCCTAGCAATAGAAGAAGAAACTTTCACCATACCTCTAGGTAGGTATTGCTCATCTAGTCTATGTGTTCCGTTCATGTACACTTCCAAAGGTAACTAGCTCAAGGAAGTAGAGAAGAGCTTGTTCAAATGAAGGACAATATATAGATATAGAAAGTGAAGAACACAATTCCATATAGCATACGCTTCCCATTAAAGAATTATAAAGAAGTAAGCCCACTGCTTTAAAAGGCCTGAGTTGCAATGAGGCAAAAGGACACCCAATTCTTAGGCACTTAACTGACACAGTTGAATGACCATCTTACAATCCTATTCTATTGTATATGACCATAAAAAAAAGATCCAATATTGTCATATAGAACAACTTTGGGTCAAATCCCCCTATCATACAATCCAAAGTCAAATCATACTATGATACTAAGAAGCCCCAATACACATACACTCAAATACTGATGGCACACTAAAGGCATCCGTCCCATACTCCCTCCCTCCGTCCTTGGTAGGATAAAGAGGGAGGGCATTGATCTTCAATGTTTCATGTTGTCAAAGACTTAACCAATGTTTTCTTCGTGTTGTTAAAGAATGGACATTGGAGTGGAATACATGTGCCTGGCTAAGCTGGTATTTCAATCAAAGGTACATTATGGATAAATTTGGTGGTGTTCAATGAATATAAGCAATAAGACGTAGCTAATTTCTACTCATTCAAAGAGTATCTAGCTTAAGGTACACTCGAGCATATAATAGATAACATATGCACCGAAGTTTAGGTCAAGTGTTTCTGTAATAGTATTGCAATTAGAATCCACATTTCAATAATTATCCTATTTCCAAACAAAAATTGCAGAAAATATACCAAACCCAGATTCAATTACAGCATTCTACCACCAATATAGTAAAGCTTATTATCAAAGTTGCAGCATTAAAAGAGAAAAAATGTCGAAAAATCCAATTCAATCCCAATTGAAACAACAAATTCAAGATTTCAAAAACCCAAAATATACAAAACAAGAAAAGAAAACATTAAACATACCTCGTACTGTTGAGCTTGATCAATAAACTTAATCTGTTCTTCGACAATTTCCATCTTTTTTCTCTTTCGTCAAACCCTTTGCCCCGACCTTCAACCACCCCAGGATAGGACCCACGCACCCACTTAATATTTGGGGCCAAGACTCAATTTTTCAACACCCACTTCAAATTTCTTCAATTGCAGGACACAATGTCGACACTGATTGTTTACTACAGTGTTCGTTTCAACCACTTTGAAGCCATTAGAGAAAAGAGGCTTTAAAAAAAGGGGTAAAAAAGAGGCTTTAAAGTTCAACCTTTTTTTAACTTCTTGAAATCCTACTGCTTTGGTTAGTACGGAGTATTATGTTTTCAAATATGTACAGAATAATTTTTTTTAGAGTTATAAATTAGTGATATATGTAGGCAATGTAGCTCTTACAGCAATATGTAAGCATTCAAAATAAAATCACGTGTAAATTAGATTAATACTTCTTATATATTAATTTATTCTTAAAATTTTCCTTTTAGCTTTTTATTTAAAGGCTATGTTTATCATTTTTTTTAATTATTTAATGACAAAATTGCTACTTGAAAAATGCTAATTCTCACTATAGCGTCTTATATGTAATTTACAAATAAAACCTTTCACGAACGAAATTATTTTTACTGAACTGAACTTATTTTTATTGAACTGAAATTATTTTTACTTAATATTATTTTTTTAAGGTGAATAGAACAGGGTCTTACATTTTTGCTAAGCTTAACTTTTTTTTTTTTCTACAGAAATCAAAATGATTTTTAATAAATTTAACTTACTTTTGCTAAATGAAAAGACTATCATAAATAAGAAAAAAAACATTTGAGATTCACTAGCTCTCATTGAAGATGAATGATTGAATGAACCACAAGTCCATTGTCCACTACAAGTCTACAACTATTAATGATATGTTTTCTTCCGCTATTACCACAATGGCACAATGCTACGAAGTAGAGGTGGCCAGTGGGCCGGGTTGGACCCAGCCCACCCTAACTCGCACGGCTGGTGGGTCACGTGGGTTCGACCCGGTCTCAATCCGGCACAGCCCGGCACAGCTCGGATTTAATCCGGGTTGTGTCGTGGGTCCAAAATTTTCGACACAACCCATTTCAACCCAGCTCAGTTTAACCCGTTTGATTCGACCCAAATCGCACAACCCGTTTTGACTCATTTAATTCGACACACCTAGCCCGTGAACCCACCTAACCCGACCCACCTGGCACAACCCAGCCCGCACGGCCCACCCGCACGAATGACCCACCCAACCCGCACGAGCCAACCCACCTAACCCGCACGCATGACCCACCCAACCCGCACGCATGACCCACCCAACCCGCACGGCCGGCACAACCCGCACGGCACGCACAACCCGCACGGCCCGCACAGCCCGCACAATTCGCACGACCCGCACGGCCCGCACGGCCTAACATCCATTTTAAAAAAAAAAACGGCTAGTTTTTTGTATCTAACGGCTAGTTTTTTGTATCTAACGGCTAGTTTTTTAAGTGTATTTAATTTTAATAATTTGATTTATGAAAGGTGGTGGCGGTGAAAGTAGAGGTCGAGCACATTTTTCTTGGGTGTGGAAACATTTTGAACGAGTTGAGGTCACACCCCCGGGATGGCAACCTGGTCAACCAAAGAGGTTCACGTGTACATGCCTAGTTTGCAAGGCGCTAGGTGCAAATGTCAAGTCATATAATTGGATAACGGGAGATGGAACCGGAACCTTGAGTCGGCATTTGCAAAATAAACACGACTTGTTCGAAAATGGCCCCCGTCCTTCGGGGGGTGGCGTCCAAACACAATTGGGTGGATACATGAACCAACCCGGCGGAGGTACACCTTTCATTTATAATAAAGATAGAATGATTGATGAAATGAGTACTTTAGTTATTGCTAATGAATACCCTTTTAGTTACGGTGAAAATGCAAACGTTGAGCATTTTAATAAAGTTGCATTACAACCTGCATTTACTCGTGTCCCCCGAAATACCCTAAGACGTTATACACAAACTTCTTATTATAAGTATAGGAGTGGTTTGATTGAATTATTTCGTACTTTTGATGGTCGTGTTAGTTTTACAAGTGATACATGGACTTCTAGTTTTGGCGAACCTTTTCTTTGCATTACTGCTCATTGGGTGGATGATGATTGGTTTATTCAAAAACGTATACTATGTTTTCAAGCTATGGAAGAAAGGCATACCGGTTTTAACATCAAAGTTCGTATTTTGGATTGTTTAAAAGAATTTCACTTGAATAATAAAGTTTTTTCTTTGTCTCTTGATAATGCAACTGCAAACACAAAGTGTATTGACTATTTGAAAAATGACTCCGAGTTGAATTTGTTGTTGGGTGGTAGTCTCTTGCATGTTAGATGTTGTGCTCATATTTTGAATTTGTCTGTTCAAGAGGGTCTCGCTGAGTTGCAACCATTGCTAAACCCAATTAGAACAGTTATAAAATGGATTAGGATTACTCAGTCAGTTAGAAGAAAGTACATAGCTATGTGTAAAGAGAGAGGTCTTAAGAAAAGACAATGGTCTATTGATACCCCTACCCGTTGGAATTCTACTTTCAAGTTGTTGAGTGATGCTATAAAGTATCATGATATTTTGACCCAACTTTACAATGAGACTCGTGTTGATCCTACTGAGTTAATAACCGAAAGTCATTGAACTAATGCTTCTTTTGTTCGTGATGTTTTAAATGCTTTTGATAGTGCAACTCATATTTTCTCTTATATTTATGAGCCTAACGTTCATTTAGTCATAATTGAGTGTGTTAAAGTTGTTCACACCATCGAAGAGCATATGAAGATTGATGGACTTCGTCCCGTTCTTGATAGCATGAAACGTAAGTGGCATACTTATTTTAGTGAATTTCCAATCATTTATGGAATTGCTGCTATTCTTGACCCCGGTGTCAAAGCTGAAGGTTTGGAAAATCTTTTAGAATTTTATTATACAAGTTTAAGTATCGATTATGATGTTAGTGAATATATTAACAAATGCAAATCTGTTTTGGGAGACCTTTATGATCATTATGCATCTATTTATGGTTTTGATTTGGCAACACCAACTACTACTAGCACTTCCGATTCTAGATTTGGTTTTCTTGATAAAGTTATGAAAAAAAAACACAAAGCATCTACATCATTCTCATCATCATCTTCTTCAACACTTGCTATTAATGATTATTTGTCATATCAACATGAGACCAACAACAACTTTCAAATTATAAAATGGTGGCAAGAACATAAAAAAAGTTTTCCTATATTGGCGAGAATTGCAAAAGATATACTTGCAGTTCCCGCTTCATCTGTTGCTTCCGAGTCTGCTTTTAGTGCAGGTAGAAGAGTGTTAGATGAAAAAAGATCTCGCTTAACTCCGGAAAGCATTCAAATTTGTGTTTGTAAGAAAGATTGGGATCAAGCTGAAAGAAGAACTCAAGGTTTAAAGGAAGACGAAGACGATGAAGATGATCCTGTGATGATATTGGAGTCGTCAACGGATGATGCAGCTTCCGGGGATGATGATGCAACAAACATGGGTGGCTAGAAAAGTCTAAATCAGGTACGCTAAGAACTACGTGGGCTTTGATTCTTTCGGGATACGTAGGCAACTTATTTTTCGAAAATTACAATTTAATTGCAAAATTAAATTTTAGTTTTCTAAAGATAGGTCCAAGCCCCCCCCCCCCCAAATTTCAAAAGAAGTACAATATAAGAACTACGCTGGCTTTGATTCCTTATTTTATAATATAAGGATACGTAGGCATCTTAATTAAGAGCAAGCCATCAAATTGTTAATTTTGTAAAAATTAAAACACCACACAACCCACCCGACCCTAACCCACGAACCCACCCGACCCTAACCCACAAACCCACCCGACCCTAACCCACCTAACCCACAAACCCACCCGACCCTAACCTACTAACCCACCCGACCCTAACCCACCTAACCCACAAACCCACCCGACCCTAACCCACTAACCCACCCTTCGACCCACCCTAACTCACTAACCCACCTTGACCCGTCTAACCCACGAACCTAGCTCGACCCACCCATGACCCGTCTAACCCACAAACCCAGCTCGACCCACCCACGATCCGTCTAACCCACAAACCCAGCTCGACCCACCCACGACTCGTCTAACCCACGAACCTAACCCTGGTGTGTCCAACTTCTCCGACCCAACCCACGACCCGGCCCACCCTACCCTACGTGTGTCGTGCCGTGTGTCATGAAACCCCAACCCGCGACCCACCTAACCCTAACCCAGCTCGCACGACTCGCACGGTGGACACCTCTACTACAAAGTATATACTCGGTGTTTGTCATATACTCATATCTATCAAACTAAAATAGAATAATTCCTAAACATTATACCATGCCCAATTGCCCAAGTATTGTCCTTTGTCATATTTTTTATTTAGGGTTTTTCTATATAGTAATCCTGTTCTTTTCACTTTTCTAAGTTGTGTCCTAACATATATCACTTTTTACACTGTAACCCCAATATATTTTTTGTTTCCATACGGTAACATTGTCGTTATCCTGCCGTTAAAAAATTCCGTTAGTGGGACCCACTCTCCATTATTAATATTTTTTTATCGATTTGCGAGTTAAAAATATCCCATCAAAGGTTTCGAGGGCTATTTTGGTTCTTATGGGTCCAAATTGAGCTCAGATTTGGCAAACAAATAACATAAATACCTCGTTTCGCTTATTAAGAAATGTCTCGATTTACGTGTTCATATTTTAACACACAAAACAAGGCATTTACGTTTTTTTTTTGTGAAATCTGAGTTCAATTTGGATCCTTAAGGACCAAAATAGCCCTAAAAACCTTTGACGGAATATTTTTAAATGCTCAAATCGATAAAAAAAATTATTAATAAGTGGAGAGTGGGCCCCACTAACATAATTTTTTAACGAGAGGATAACGGCAAGGTTACCATATGTAATCAAAAAATATATTAGGGTTACAGTGTAGAAAGTTATGTTGGGACACAACGTAGAAAAGTAAAAAAACAGGTTACTATATAGAAAAACTCTTTTATTTATTTTACACTTAATTGTCGCATTTCCATGTCTTATCAAAATAGCAAATTCGTGTGCCATACATTATATTCATGTCCATTACAATACAAATGCAACATAATTTTCATCACGTCCTAGTCCCCACTTCAATAAATAATCTTGTCACGATTTCGTGATGCTAAGCTTTTCTATATGAATAATCAATTAATCATGTTTCATGTTGCGGTATCAATGTTTAATGACCTAATATTTTTATATCTCTTTATGGGAATATATATATATACGTAGTATATATATATATATATATTCTTTCTTTTGGTGTTTTTCTTGAGATTTAAAAGTATAGATTCAGATTTTATAATAACAATAATTGAAAGTATAGATTCTAATTTTATAATTACTTTATTATGGTTTCCTATACAAATATTATGCTGGAATGTGATGCCTTTTTTTAACTCAAAAGCAAGCATGCATTACTTGGGCAAAACCCTATTAAAATTATTACATCCTAATGTGATGCCTTAGATGTGGTTAATGCAATTAAAGGGTGCTCTTCAGGTTTTCCACCAAATTATTTAGATATGATGATATTGTTTTGGATAGCTCCTTGTGATTGTTTTAGTATTTCTCGTGCCAAAAGCAGTGGCAGATGCTGAGATGCATGATGTTGAACATGAAGAAAAATTAAGTTTTTAAAAAATAAAAATAGATAAACAATGATGAACGCATACGTAAGTACAAACCAATGAAACGAACATAGAAGCGCATTTGATTCGACCATTATTAATTAAAACTCTACATAAGAAAACCTGATGGAGTGATGGCTGAATTCCACCATTTAAATTATACACCTTTGATTCGGAGACAACAAGAGAAAGACCGGTGGTACCGTGGTGGAGCGAGAAGATGATTGAAATGAGCTGAACTGAATTTAACTTATTAGAGCTGAGCTGAATTGAACTAAACTGAAGTGAAATGAATATATTATACAAGAAGAAAATTAGGAGCTGAACTTAACTTAACTTAACTTATTAGAGTTAAATTGAACTGAAAATTAATTTGATGAAAATAGACCTTATTACCTCAAATGAAAGTTAAAATTTAAGGGTATAATAAAATTAAAATAAAAAAAATAGCAACAATAATTACTCTGTACTCTCGTTATATAAAAAAAAATGGAATAATTCCGTACGCGCTTAATATTTTAGGAATATTACCCTATAGCAGTATAGCACCAGGCAAACCCTTGATGTGACCATTGATCTCCTCATACTATAGACCGGGGTACCACAACATTGACAAAAAAAAAAAAAAAAAATCATGAAGATTATAGAACAACCTTACAATAACTATTCAAAAGTTCACAACTGAAATTTGAACACGTTTATCTTGAGTCTCACACTCTCACAGGACAAGCTTAATCAGTTAGAGCTGTCATTTTCAGTAATAATAACTCAACAACATTATCAGATTCAGGGGCCATATTGCAACACAAATATACACGTTCAATTTTCACTACTACTCGTACTTGTCGACTGTTATATATGTATATATAGGCCTATTTTGCTGCAATAAGTTTCAGTAAACATTGCAAACAAATAACTTCTTTTCTTGTAATCACATTTAACCTGAAACACACAAATATGAGTTCAGCAACTGTTAAACACGTCTCAGCATGCTACATCAAGCCAAAGTATGAGGTGCAAGAAGCTAAGCAACCTTACTACTTGGCTCCCATGGATCTAATGATTTTCAATTTTCACTATATCCAAAAGGGCCTCCTTTTCACCAAACCTTCACATATTAACAATCAAGAATACTCTATTAGCAAGCTCCTTCATAGCCTCAAGGAGTCTCTTTCGCTCGCCCTTGTCCATTTTTACCCACTGGCAGGGCAGCTCACTACACGCATCAGCAAAAATCGGCATGAATGCTTGATTTTTGTAGATTGTAACAAGGGTCCTGGGGCTAGGTTCATTTATGCCACGTTAGACATGAGCATATCTGAAATCTTGTCACCAGCTGATGTTCCTTTGGTCGTTCAGTCATTATTTGACCATGACCGAGCTATTAACCATGATGGTCATAGAAGGCCTTTGTTATCAGTTCAGGTTACTGAGCTCAAGGATGGGGTGTTCATCGGCTGTTCCATGAATCATGTGGTTGGAGATGGAACCTCATATTGGCATTTTTGGAAAATATGGTCAGAAATACATAGAGCCAATGGCAAGCAACTTCTTGTTTCACGTCCGCCCAATCATAAACGTTGGTTTCCTGATGGGTATGGCCCGGCTATCCCCCTACCTTTTACTCACCCTGATGAATTTGTAAGCAGGTATGAAGTAGGGCAGCTCAAAGAAAGAATCTTTCATTTCTCCCAAGAGTCTATAGCAAGACTAAAAGCCAAGGCCAACAAAGAAAGCAATACCAGCAACATTTCCTCCTTCCAGAGCCTCTCAGCACTTGTCTGGAGATCGATTGTAAGAGCAAACCGCCTATCTGAAGATTGAATCACAAATTGCGCATTGGCTACCAATAACAGGCATAGGTTAGATCCTCCTCTGCCTCCAGAGTACGTTGGTAACTGTGTTACTCCAACAATAACAACTACTACTGCCGGTGAGTTACTTGCACACAACTTAGGGTGGGTAGCATCATTGTTGCACCAGTCAGTGGTAAACCACAGTGACAAAATAGTGCACAAAATCATCGAAGGGTGGCTCCAATCTCCTTTTGTTTACCGACCAGGCAAAATGTTCGATCCTTACAGTGTGACGATGGGAAGCTCACCAATATTTGACATGTATGGAAATGAATTTGGTTTCGGGAAAGCTGTAGCAGTTTGAAGTGGGTATGCAAACAAATATGTTGGCAAAGTGACTGCTTACCCAGGATATGAAGGGGGAGGAAGTGTGGATCTAGAGATATGTCTAACACCTAAATCAATGAGCGCTCTTGAATCAGATGAAGAATTTATGGCTGCCGCAACAGAATAGTACAATGGATATGGATTCAAAACAAGGCATCCCCAAGAGTCCAGAATAAAATTGATGGAACCAGCAAAATTTCTGTTTACAATGAGTCTAAGTCATCATTTCTTTTAATTTCAAGTCATTTTTTTGCTACTCTTGCTTTTGTAAGGAAGAACTGTCAAGCCATTGACGTAATATGTACTTTGTTGGACTTGATTATGAATAAAGCTGTTCCAAATAAATATAAATCCCAAGATAATCTGTACCTATAAAAAAAATCACCTTGTTAAGGTGATATGTAGCTTACTCATCTAGTGTGTTAATCTGTACCTAAAAATAAATAATGGCCTTGTAAAGAATAAAGATGATATGTAGCTAACTCATCTAGTGTGTTAAAGCACATAAATAACATATAAATCACTTCAGGCGAATTTAATCAAATTCCCACCAAAGGATTCTACATTGATTAGAAAGCTCAATTTATGAAAAGGATTCACCTAGATCGGACTACTTTCTTAACCAATGGGAGAAGAAACTCACCTGACCTCAAGGTAGACAATTGCTCGTTTTCTCTATCAGTATTCTGTTAAGTGTTAACCCCTTGTGAATGTTGCCAGCCTTCGTTATAAAACATATTCCTGGGCTTCAACCATCAGTTTAAGAATATAGGTCACGGGTTCGAATCTCATCCGCTCCTCCTTCAAAGTCGAATTAATTCGCACCAGGTATGGGTGGGTCTGTGTTGCATCCACATTTCAAGCCCAAAGGGCCTTTCATGTGAGGGGGAGTGATAGAGTATAAAACATATTCCTGGGCCTCAACCATCAGTTTAAGCTTTTGGTTGAGTTGGTGCTCTAACATTCATGTCCATAATGCTCAGAGCCATCTTTCTACAAAGATAGCAGTGTAGTATTGGCAAGCCAAGCCGAAGCTTTGATTATTAATTCCATCCTGTCAATATACAAAAATAGATCATTCACATGTGATACACTAAATAAAATGCTTGACTCATTTTGCCCCACATATATAAATTATGATAATGATATTTAGCCAAGAATTCATTGCAGTTGATGTGTATCGTGTTTAGTAACATTGAAGCTACAAATTTTGTCTCAGTAAAACAGATACATCTTTCATGAAAAAACTGTACCACAAAAAAGTACCATAATTGAATATTAGGATGTAAGACTCAACTTAGCATTAAACTTCTTATAGCAAGGACAAGGATGGGCATTTGCAGCAAAAATCTGGGCTTGAATCTGACTTAGGACTTGGCAGGCACTAATTTGCTTTTTCACTGCACAAGCAATTCTTGTGGAAACAGTTGACACCCTCCCTCCCCCCTCCTCGAATAGCAGAGAATTTTCAACTGAGTGAAATTTCCCAAAACAGATACAAGAATGATCTATAGAATACCATCTTAAATGTTCCTGACTCAACTATAAACTTGAAATGTTCAAATCCACTTATTGCTTTGCTGCAACAGTAGCAATACTACTGCGAAACTGTCTTCATCTTGTTGCAATCTTCGGTTATATATATAGCTATCTAGCAGCATAGGCATTGCTTGACATCACAGAGTATTTCCTGCACATTATTAGAACAATTTAAGGAAGGAAGATGGGTGAAAATGAAAAGAGAATTATCAGAAATAGAGAAGGTAAAGATAATTTTTCAATAAGGCTTTCATTACAAAGACTTAAGCCCGTTGTTTTAGAAGGCATGAGTTGCTGTGAGTTAAAAGGGCACGTAGAGCATAGGTAGAAGATGAGATAACACGGTGTGTGCCTAGCTAAAGCGAGATATTGCTTCCTTTAAATCCTTTCTTATTATAACGGTCCTTTTTATCCTGTCCTCCAATCCCACACCTATGGAAAAATGAATAACATATGTACTACATACAAAGTATATAACGTCTGTTACAATGCTCATTCCGAATATCAATGGCCTTATTATCTAACACTGTAACATGAAGCTCATCTACTATATATAAAGCTTGTCAATTGTTTACAAGCATCATACAGTCTACTACAAGAGTTTACATTATAACCCTGGGTGTAGTAATATGGGCCAAGTAATCAGTTAATCATCATACAAGCCAAGTTAAAGAGAGATCATTATAAAGCCGAGTGTATCATATAGGTCAAGTAATCTCCATATAAGCCAACTTCAAGAGTGTCTATTATAAACCCGGGTGTAGCAGCATTTAGGTCAAGCGCTTATAACATTACCCCAATCATACTCTACACAAAATATCTAAAAATTCTTGATTTATTTACAAAAATGTCATGAGATAAAAAAAAAATTGTTAATCTGTGAGATCAACTTGTATTTACCCCTAAAGAACTGAATTCAACCGTTTTCACAATTTCACATACATGATTGCTAAAAGGCCTACAACTATTCAAAGCATAGACTCATTCACAACATTCTATAATCAATATTTCAGCTTTAGTAATAAAAATTGCAAAATTTCACAGAGAATTAACAAAAGATGGATGACTCCAATCATCAAAAACACATGAAATACCAAAAAGTAAACATTAATCAATCAAATATACCTCATTCATTTGAGCTTGGCAATTTGAGTGTTCTTCAGATAATTTATCCTGAAACTGCAACACCTCCAATCTTGTAACATCTCCAACACCACGATCTTCCTTAACTCCACAAAATCTCTCTCTTGTCTCACTTTCTCTCTCATTCAAACCTAGCTCACTCATTTCTCCCCTAAATTGGACCCGCCCGCCTGATTCGGCCCAAGATCCGATTTTTCGACATTGGGGCTCCGATATTAGGACACCCACTTTGAGTTTCTTCCATTGCTTAAGGTTTGAGATTGAATCTTGATGACAATCGGGCTACTTTTTTCGGGATGTTCATTCAGAGTTTCGGACGCTTTGAAGTCCTATCAATTTTAAATTTTTAATTTATGTTTCCCTTGTTTACTTACCAATCAATATCAATTTTAAGGTACCCGCTAACATTATTGGCGATTATAAAGTTTCATATGGGCCAGTCCGCCAGTTACACAAAAAACGTGCCAATTTAATAAAAAAAAAAACATTTTCAATTAGTATTATGTGCACCATGAGGTGCACCACGAATATACTTTTGAACATTTAATAAAATAAATTGAACATTTTGCAAAAAATGAATATTTAGTAAAAAAAAATATGAACACGTCACAATAATTGAACATAAACATGCAATTTTTATGTTCATATTTTATTAATGAATGTTCATTTTGTATACATTAAATGTTCAGATTATATTACAAAACTATTGAATTATTACAAGTTAGTTCAAAATAGACTCGTAATAATTCAAAATTTGCAATTGTTCAGATTTTTTTTACTATATGTTCAAAATTTGTTATTGTTCATATTTTTTTACTAAAAGTTCAAAATTATAAGCGTGCTGCATTGCAATTGTTCAGATTTTTTTATACTAAACGTTCAAAAATGGCGATTCAGATTTTTTAACTAAATGTTCAAAATTCTCGATTGTTCGGATTTTTTTACTAAATATTCAAAAGTATAGACATGATGCATTGCAATTGTTCAGATTTTTTAACTAAATGTTCAAAATTTGCGATGTTCAAATGTTTCTACTACATGTTCAAAATTTGCAATTGTTCAGATTTTTTTTACTAATTGTTCAAAAGTATTGGCGTAGTGCACCTATTTCTAGGTGCACCACGGTGCATCTTAAAATTTGCCGAACATTTTAACTATAATTAGGGATGTCAGTGGGGCGGGTTAAGTAGAAGACCCGTTCTATCCCCACCCCAATGGGCAGGGTATGGGTCTCAATTTGGTGGGTGGTGGGGCAAGAATGGGGATAAAAATCATACCCGCCATGGGTTATGGAGAGGGGATGAATTCTAAGTTGTCCACACCTCATACCCACATTTATATATCTTTAAAAATAAAATTATATACTTTTATACTCCGTACTATTTTATAAAATAATCATGTGAAATAAAATATTAATTATAATACTTTGTACTACATTTACTTCCTCTGTTCTTTTTTACCTGACCTATTTTTTTTATCACGCTTGCCAATGCACAACTTTAACGATCAATAACTTTAATTCTCTTTAAGTAAAAATTTTAAAATTTACATATTATGATAGTACTTATTGAGACGAATTCAAAAACATCTTACATTAATATATTTTTCATTGCATATTATTTACAAAAGACGGTCAAATGAAGGGTGATGAATAGTGTAAAAGTCAAAGCGGGTCAAGTAAAAAAGAACGGAGGAAGTATATTATAAACAAAAACGGGTGTAATATTAAGATTTTTTTTATAGTGTAATCCGTATTAATTATGTTGGATTGTGTATTTGAAAGGCGGATATTAGGTGGGTCTTGGGTGGGGATTAGGCGGGTCTTTGGTGGGGATTAGGTAGGGGTGGATATCTAAGTAGGGGGTGGGGCGGGGATGGTTTTGGAGTTGTACCCGTAGGGGCGGGATGGGGATGAATTCTGGACCCATCACGGGGATGAGGATGAAAATGTTAGGTGGGATGGGGATGGGAAGGGCAACATCCGCCCCGCCTCGCCCCATTGACATCCCTAACTATAATTGTCATTTGTTTGTTTACTAGGTTATAAAATTACGGTGGATGCACACAATCAAACATCAAACAAATTAGGTAAATTAGACATCTATGCATTAAAGTCAAAAGTATAGATTAAAAATTAAAAAAAAAATTATTAATAATTAATGACATCATACATAAAATTAGAGGGAAAAAATAGATTAAAAAGATAAACTTGTACTTGTGACTTGAAAAACAAAAGAGCTTCAATACTCTTTGCCTAATACTCCATATGAAGTTCTATAATTGAAAATTAATTGTTCATTATTTTTCAAATGTAAGAGCGAGCTAAAAATGTTGAAACCATATCTATTATTTGACCCAAATAGTCAAATATCTAATTCAAAATTGATTCAATCCCATAAATTAATTCAACCAAACTCATAGTTACCTAAAAGCCTAAACACTAATAAATATGTTCAAAATCATGATAATTACAAGTTATATAACTTTCTATAAGACATATAAACATCAATTTTTTTTTATAAGAATAACTATCAATTACTTTAGTAATAAAACAATAAAATTACCATTTATCCAAGCCACAAGATTCAAATAACGAGTGTCTTAGAAAACTTTACTACATATTTATTGGTTAGTTGGTAAGCATCTTACCAATAATACTAAATTTAGTGCCAACTAAAATTGAGAATTTGGTTGGTACTAATAGACTTCTGTTGGTACTAAAGGAGTACAACTAAGTATTCTGTAGTCTGTACACTTTAATATCCAAATATATTACCCCGTAAATCCGTAATAGTCTTTCTAAAAAAAATAATAGTCTTCTACAGAGTAAGTAAAAATCTCCCTTTAACCTTCTTATTTTCTCATGGAAAAAGTCAAAACAGGTCACTGGTTTATCCAACCATAATAAGAGAGTTCTGATCTTTAAAGAAAAGCCTTTCGTAAATTTTGGTTCTTTAGAAATATCTCCATGCAATATAAAATTATAGAGTACTCTACCTAATTTTATTCTATATAAAATTATAGAGTACATTGCATTTGACAAATATGACAATTATATCTTTATCTATATTTCTCTACCTAATTGCCCCACACCAGTAAGTAATTTTCCTTTCAAATTCTCCTCCAAAATTGATCATCACTGCATCATTATCTAATCCAAGTAATTGTCATCTAGTAGTTTCTTCTCTCAATTTTCTTGGTGCCCCACATTAGTAAAACTTCTGTTGGGATTCAGTTATCACATTAGCAACTCATATTATATTATCAACATGACTTAACTTCTAACAAAGAGAGTACCGTGATATTCTTTGAAAAGAAAATTTAATTTGTAATTTGTAACCATTATATAATCATTATTAAGCTTTAAACACGTTGCCCTTTGCTTGTAACATCAGAATAGTCAGATTCAGGGGCCATGCTACAAAACAAATACAAAAATTAGAGTTTCGAATTTTTCAAAATTTTCACTAGTATATTCTACGAGTATATATTTAGGCCTAATGCTACAATAAACTGCATTCAAGAATCAAAATCACCTACCTTCCTATAATCTCAACCATCACAAAAACATAAATATGAATTCAGCAACTGTTAAACATGTCTCAGAATGCTTCATCAAACCAAAGTATGAGGTGCAAGAAGCCAAGCAACCTTACTACTTGGCTCCCATGGATCTGGCCATGCTCAATTTCCACTATATTCAAAAGGGTCTTCTTTTCATCAAACCTTCACACATAAATGATCAAGAATTTTCAGCTGACAAACTCCTTCAGAGTCTGAAAGAGTCACTTTCACTCACCCTCGTCCATTTTTATCCACTCGCAGGGAAGCTTGCCACACGTATCAGCAAAAATCGGCATGAATGCTTAGTTTTTGTAGATTGCAAAAAGGGACCTGGAGCTAAGTTTATCTATGCCACATTAGATATGACCATATCTGACATTCTGTCACCAGTTGACGTTCCTCCGGTTGTTCAGTCACTTTTTGACCATGATCGGGCTATTAACCATGACGGCCATAAAAGGCCACTGTTATCAATCCAGGTCACTGAGCTCAAGGATGGGGTTTTTATTGGTTGTTCCATGAACCATGTGGTTGTAGATGGAACCTCATACTGGCATTTCTGGAAGATATGGTCCGAAATACATAGAGCTAATGGCAAGCAGCTTCTTGTTTCACGTCTACCCAATCATAAACGTTGGTTTCCTGATGGGTATGGCCCGGTTATCCCCCTCCCTTTTACTCATCCTAAAGAATTTGTAAGCAGGTATGAAGTAGGGAAGCTCAGAGAGAGAATCTTCCATTTCTCCCCAGAGTCAATAGCAAAACTAAAAGCCAAGGCCAACGAAGAAAGCAATACCAACAACATATCCTCCTTCCAGAGCCTATCAGCACTTGTCTGGAGGTCAACTGTTCGAGCAAACTGCCTACCTGAAGATCAGATCACAAATTGCAGATTTGCGGCCAATAACAGACAGAGGTTAGATCCTCCTCTGCCTCCAGAATATGTAGGAAACTGCGTTACTGCACTGATAACTACCACTACTGCTGGTGAACTACTTGGACACAACTTAGGGTGGGCAGCGTCATTGTTGCACCAGTCAGTGGTAAATCACAGTGATAAAACAGTGCACAAATTCATCATCGGATGGCTCCAGTCTCCTTTTGTTTACCAGCCAGGCAAGATGTTTGAACCTTACAGTGTGATGATGGGAAGCTCTCCAAGGTTTGACATGTATGGAAACGAATTTGGTCTTGGGAAAGCAGTAGCAGTTCGAAGTGGGTATGCAAACAAATATGTCGGCAAAGTGACTGCCTACCCAGGATATGAAGGGGGAGGAAGTGTGGATCTAGAGATATGTCTACCACCTAAATCAATGAGCGCTCTTGAATCAGATGAAGAATTTATGTCCGCTGCAACAATACAGTACTATGGATACTAAAGAAAGCATCCCCAAGGGACATGATATGCAAACAACATGGAAGATAAAATCTATGGAACCAGCACAATATCCATTTAAGACGAATCTAAGCCTTTCAAGCCAGTAATTGCCAATCTTGTCTTTTTATTGATGAAGATATAACTGTAAAACAATTGCTGTATTCTGTATTTCTGTAGGACTTAAATGTAAATAAATACTGTTCCAAAAAGGAAAAAAAAAAAAAAAAAAACCTAAAAACTCATATGTAGCAAGAAATTTATGGTTTCCTCAATAAGATGATTGTTGCTGACTCATCTAGTGCGGTAAATCACACAAATAAATATATAAAATACTACATAACTTGAGCGAAACTCATCGAAATACCACTAAAGAATTCCACATTACATGTAGAACTCAATGTATGAAATTGAATTCACCAAGACAGCACTGCTTTCCCTACAAAACGGGAGAAGAAAGTTTCAGCTGACCTCAAGGTAGACAATTACTAGATTTCCCTCTCCTTGATCCATCTACCCTTCTGAATGTTGCTTACATCCTTTTGGTCCATAATGCTCAGAGCTACGTCGCACCATCTTTCTGCAAAGGTAGCAGTAATGGTTTTGGCATGCCCAGCAGAAGATGTGATTATTGTTTCCAACCTGTCAAAACAAGAAAATGAAACTTCTATTTCTGATTGCAATAGACATACTCCATATATAATGCTGGACTCATTTTGCCCAACATCCACTATAAACAGTTACGATATTTAGCCAAAAAATCATTAGAGTTGCTGTTGTGTATCATAGTAGTATTACATTGTACATTTGTACCATAAGGAACTAACCATAATTAGATGTAACTCATGTAAGACTCACCTTGACATTCAACTGCTTACATCCAGGACAAGGCCGTGCATTTGCAGCAAAAAGATGAGCTTGAATCTGCCCAATGACTTGACGCTCATTCATATGCTCTTCCCATTGCACAATTGCTTCTTGAGGAAAAAGTTGACAAGCTCCCTCCCTTCAAATAGCAGAGAATTGTTAATTGAGTGAAAATTTCCATAAGAAATATCAGGAACATTATCAGCAAATCATCTAAGTATAAACCTGAAATGTTCATATCCACTAATTGCTTGGCTGCAACAGTAACAAAAGTACTGCCCACACTGACTACACACCATCTTGTTGCACCCGTCAGTTCTAGAAATAGCTATCTTACAGGATGGGCATTGCTTGGCATCACGGAGTATTTCCTTCACACTACGAAGTTCATTAATCATATCAAGCTCCTTGCGTCTTTGTGCATCTTTAAGAAGGGATGAATTTTGGCGGTCCTGCATGCATAAACTTAATAATGTGAAAACTTTCATTTACTTTTCAAATTAAAGCTGAAATACACAATTTCAAAAGGTTCCATTTCTTTGAATGTAATATAGCAATGTAGTCAAGTGATTTTCTCAAACAACACCCACCATGGTATGAACAAGGAAAGCTAAATGCCCTTTTTTTTTAAGGGATTGCACACTTCTTTTAAGACATTAATCAATATCCATTATCGAATTTAGTACAATGAGAAAATTGTATTAAAATAGCAATTCCTTATAAGTATGCTAATCCATAAGGGGAAAAAAATATCAATTGGGGTCTTATTAGATTTGTATTCATGTATATTTTCCAAATATGTAATTTTCATAATTTTTTTCATCACGAAATTAAAGATATTTAACGAAAATGAATCCCACGTAAAACATTAAAGTATGTTCAAAACTTATAGTCTAATCTGATATAATTTATGTTTTCAAGTTCTTAGATAAGGTGAACTAAACATAGCCTAATTTGACATAATTCAGCTCTTTTGAGAAAAAGATATCCCCTCAATCCACCATGTGATGACCCCGCTATAAGAGGTTTCTCAAGATGTTTTTATTGTATTTTGGAAGTATGCTGAGCACTGTGAGCAGTGAGCAAGGAGATCATCAAAGGTTGCTAAAAGGTTTTAGACTAACTGGTTTATAACTTTATATAGCTCTAAAAGGAAAATTGTGTTTCTAACGACCAAACTGGGTAAACACTGAAATTGCTTATGTGAATCTGAAGATAAGGGTATACATGGAGGGGGTTGACTATAGACACGATAAACATTGTTATATAGAATGGGATCTCAAAAGTCTTACCTCCAAGAATTTAAGCTTCATCTCTGGGGTCATGCATGCTATCCCCACATGACGTCGTTCCCTGCAAAGAGAACAGAAGCTAAAGAAGCACTTTGAGCATTGAGCATGCTGGTCGTCATCTTCTAGACATGCTGTTTCACATCTGGGGCAATAAGTTACATCAGGCATTGCATCAAGGGATTTTTGTAGCATCAATGATTCCCAACGTTCGAACTCTTCATCACCCAGCAGTCGTTTCAATAAACCAGGAGGGATCATACCACCACATTTGGTGTTGGGACATTGCAGCTTATTTACTGTGCCTTCCTTCACGTGCACATCAGCATAAGTCGTCATGCATTTTACACAAAAGAAGTGATGGCATGGCAATCTCAAAAACTCTGTCCCTGTAATAAAGAACAAAATATGCTGAGCAGTGAACAAGGAGAGGAAGGGGTATTGTAGGCCATGCATGATTAGATTTTTAGATGTTAGATAAATGATGTCCCTTGTGAGGATCTTGCCTCAGGGAAGGAATAGTGTAGGCAATGCATTACTAAATATTAGAAATAAGCTTGGAGAAGAAGCTAGTCAGTCACTTTGACTTAGAATTACTATTATAAGAGAAGATCAGTGAAAGAGAAACCATGAAGAAAATTCAGATTCATATTAATATCCTTTATTTTGTTAATTTAGGAGTGCATCAAATTACAATCCACTATCCACATTTCCCAAAATTCTCTTCTCCTCATTTCTTCAATACTGAAATTTCCAGTATACCTCCTTTCATTTTCCATGTTTCTAAAAAGGGCCAGCATAAACTTTCTTGCAATTAACTGAAGTGTCAGAAATTTGTATGTAGAGACTCTACTAGTCTTGCCTGGCTATCAGATAGGTGGCAACACTGTGTACACCTAAATCAATCCCATGAATGATGATCCACTAGCTACTTTATTACTGTGTTCAGGCTGAAGATTTCATGCAAAAAAAAAATTATCGACCCAAAAAAAACTTTAAAACTGAAAACAAAGTATCTAACTGCCAAATAGCCAGGTATTATAGCTAGTAATATCACATAATGACCTGCTAAAATGATTTTAATTCAGGTGGTGTGGTTCTACAGAAGTGCTTCTAAAATTTTCTTCAACTTTAATATGATAAAGTCACAAGGGTGCAACATTTTGACTTTCCCCAAAAAACAGGAGAGAGAAGAACAAGTGCTAAAGTAGAGTAGAACATCATGTAATAGGATGAGTGATAACTGATAAGATGATTAAGATCTACAACAACTAGGAAAAACAGGCAAAAGCAATTGGGAAGGCAATCTTCCCACATGAAATCGAGATGAAATAAAGTAATTTTCTAATGAAGGGCCAAGAAAAAGAGTTAAGGCCGTCACAGCAGAGTACAAAACATAAAGGCTTGGCAACACAAAAATCAGTGATGAAGTATGGAGCACTTTTCAAGTATCTTTAATTAACCCTAGCCACAATGTCGAAAAGCTCAGAATACCTCTTCACAACAAGCTAGTATATAACTTCTAATAAAATAAAAGAGAGCAGATGCATCAACTTGCCAAAGTTTCCAGATCAATAGATCTTTTCTACAAAAACTTTTATCATAGGGAAACAAATGCAGAATAACTCTCCATTTACTAGCCAACAATGCTAAAAGATCCAAGCATAAGTAATTATGATAGGCTTTAATCCTAACAAGGATTTGAAGGGTTTGTCAAAAGCTGATGTTTAATAGGAGGCAAATTATGCTTAGAGTATTTCAAGTTCCTGAGAACAGCCAAAAGACATGCACATATGTCCAAAAAAAAATACTTATTTAAAAATTAAAAGCATTATCTACTAGACTAACATAACAAATGTTAATCATAAATTCATAACATCAGAGTACCAAAGAGTTACGGTACCTGCATATTCGCTGAAACAAATGCAACATTCATGACAGCCACTGAGGAAGTTTTCATGTCGTCTCTCTTCATTGTAACTCCTCATTGAGGGTATATCTATGTCAGGAGAAACACTTCCAGAAAAAGCCCGCCTGTCTGAAACACTTTTCACATCGTATGGTCCAAGCATAAGTTCCCCATCAAAGCCAAGATATGAAAGAGATGCACTATGTAGCCATTCCACCCACTGGTACAGGATCTCTTGCCCTACTTGCTCATTCCACAATAAATCTAGCATGGAGCAAAGGTTGGAAATTCTTGATTCATGCAACCACTGAACTGAGATTGTAAAAGAAGGTGGACAATGACTTGGGTACGATACAGGCAACAAACATGTCAATACAATAGGTGACAGATACTGAACTTTGAAAGTGTATAAGAATTCATCAGAGTCGCGCGATTTGGAATTAGTGCGAGTATCTGCCTTTAGTTTTGCTGATACAGGATACTCGCCAGGAAGTTCAATGTGTATGTGAATCTGCGAAAGAACAAAATATTATCAGCTTTCTATCAATCCCCAAGTCCATGATCTTAAGGCTTCTGAAGAGTCCTAACCTGGAAAGATCGCAAACCTTGTCGCTTTTCTAGGACATAGACATTGTCTCCATATATGGACTCCATTGCAAGCAACTGACAAATTTAGCAGATTATATGTAAGAAGTAATTATAAGAAAGGAACAAATGAGAAGTGACCCCTCTCTACAAGAACAAGGTATCATGTTATCGAATACAATTGAGAGCAAGTGTGTATTGTTTATTTTTACTATCCAAAGTCCACCCTTGCATGATAAACTTCTTTAGAACGACTCAAGGTAGGAATGATGGATCAGCTCACTCTTCCAAGTAGAGAATGTCTTAAAAGTAGATAAGGCAAAGACAATTCTACCAAGAAGGCTTCTTTTTCAAAGACCTAAGTCCATCATTTTAGAAGGCTTGAGTTGCAGCAAGGCAAAAGGGCACCTAGAGCCTGGTAGAGGACTAGAGGGCAAGATATCAAGGTGACTTCCTAGCCAAATCGACCTATTGCTTCTTTTCTTATTGCTTTTCCTGACCTCAAATCTCGCATTGCCTTATAATGTTATGTGAAGCTCATCCACTATCAAGCATTCAAGCTTGTCAATCTTTTACAAGCATCACATAGGCATATGCCCATACCAGTAATCATTACAAAAACCAACTTTGAGACTCGAGAGTGTCCATTATAAAACTGGGTATAACATTTAGGTCAAGTACTCCTAACACTACTCCAATTATACTACACACACCAAACTACTTAAAAGCCTGACTTCCATTTCCAAACAATGATCATAATTCGTAAATAATGTACCAAACACGGATTCAATCAATAAACAACCAAAATTAAGCTTGTAATCAAAATTTTACATAGAAGAACAACATATACAAGATTTTCATGATAAAAAACACATAAACACCAAAAATTGAACAATAAATAAGTCAAATATACCTCATCCTCTTGAGCTTGATCATTAATTTTAATCTGTTCTTCAGATAACTCCACTTCTTCAACCTCAAATTGTAATTCTTCCAATCTTCTAACAACATCTTCAACACCATTACCCTCCTTACTCAACTCACACCCTTCATTCTTCTCCTCCTCAACTTCACAATATCTCTCTCCTACCTCACTTTCTCTCTCATCTAATCCTTGCCAACCTTCAACCGCCCCAGAATTGGACCCACCCACTTCAGATTTCTGCCCAGAACTGGACCCACCCACCTCAACTTCAGGCCCACAACCCGATTTATCGACACCGGAAACCCGATTTTTGGACACCCATCTGAATTTAATTCCATTAGAAGGCCTGTAATTTGATGTTGAAGGGGTTTGGGATTGTTCAAGATCATCTTGATGATGATGATCAGCTTGTTTTCTGGGGTTTTCGCTTAAAGGAATTACAGTGCAATCATCTTCTTCTCGGTGGCGTTGGGAGTTATTCTGCTTCTTTTGCCGGCTTCTCCCCATTATTTTTGAGCTTATAATACCAGAAATTTTCGCAACAAATACAACAGAAAATTTTACAATAAAAAAAAAATTAATCAGGGTTTTTCGTGGAGGAGTATACAATTAACAGAGTATTAATGTATTGAAACAATGAATTGCAGTGAATCTGATTCTGATTTATAATAAGCTGTAATTTTTAAAAAATTATATTTTGGGCTGCATTTTATCACAGCAGGAAACCCGTAAAGCCAATTTGGCAAATGAGTGAATGAGGCTAGCCTGGTCGACTAAAGTCTTGTGTTAATGTTCGAGAAATAAATGATCTGAAATTAAATTCCGCCTACATCAAAATAAATATCCAGAAACTTATGCGAAAAAGTAATTAATTAATGCGCAATAACAGAAAGTGGGTAGGTTTTGTAATTTTTGGGTTAAATTTACCTGTATAATTAATTAATGTGTAATAACAGAAAGTGGGTAGGTTTTGTAATTTTTGGGTTAAATTTACCTGTATTAATTACTCGTATATAAATTTATGGCGTATTTCATGATTGGATATTACTTGGTAAATGTTGTGTGGAAAAGTCGGTTGTTATCGTTGGTGGGTTGAAAACGGTCAAAGGCCCAAGAACAATGTGAGCCAACCTAACTTGACTCGAATTAAAAAGTCAAAGGTCCAAATTCTTGTCTCCAATAAAGCCCGTTTTGGCCTTTTTGCTTGAAAGGCTAACATTCAATCACCAACTCATGGTTGCTCAGATCAAGTGAGATGATAATCTCTCCGTCCTAGTATTTTATTACTGAGTACAAGTTAGTGAAGTTACTGTAATTTCTCTTTAAGTTAAAACTTGAAATTATAAAATTTGTAAGTGTTACGAGTTGAGTTGAGCTGAGCCCAAGCAACCCAAGCTCCTCAGATCAGCTTGTTTTAAAAGAGTAATCGCTTTACTATGATATGTATACAACTATTTATATTGTCATATTGAACCTGGTTGTGCCCTGATTATATTTGTAATAAGTTACTTATTACCTTAAAATCATGCATAATACAATACAAAGTAATTAAATTTCATGAAAAAAGCCTATCTACGAAATGTAGTAGATACGAGTAAATGATGTAAGAGAATGTTTCAGATGAATTCCAGCCCTTAGATGGCCATTAAATTATTATTAGGTAGCGCCAGTCTGCAGACAAATAAGGGAGCAAATTATTATAAACCCAAGTCCGATTAACCGGATCACCAGTCATAATCTACCATGAAATAGGTGATAATAATCATGACCTGTATTCATTGTCAAACAATTCAGAGCATCAGAGTAGCATACTAGCAATTCTATACTTCATTTGCCAAGAAAAAGATGGATTGTAACTTGTGACTTTTCGTACAAATATTTTTAATTTTTTAGGATGCATGTTTTAAGCTAACAAGCATTACATTTAGAAATATGTCCAAGACTACATAACACCTAACCATGTCAATAGGTTCCATATTCCTAACATGACTTATGCACCGTCCGGCTGAACAAAAGGGTTTGCAATCTCATCGGTGCCATCAGTAGGAGAAACCAGCATTACGGCTGTTCCTCTACAAACCTGCAACAAAAATGCACTTCAAATCAACACATAATTCAACTACATTGTGAAGTTGCATCTTTGAAAGATCAAAGCTAATAATTGTCAAGGCTGGGCCTATATATGTAGTGAATGTAGATGGATAATAGGCGATGTTCTAAATACAGTAAATACTTTGCATAAAAGTAATTTTGTCTTCTAAGGATACCAATTCTTAAGTTTTACACCAATTGAGAAGGACAGTCACTAAATATTCATTTTAAAGTCCTCCAAAGTCATAAGCCATCTGAGGCCTATGGTTCCTCTTGTACTATCGTGTGGAATCCTAAGCCACAATAACTGCCAGTTTTGTATCTAAACCTAAAGAAGAAAATCCCAGCATGTAATACAAAGTTTAGAGATTTGGAAAAAGAAACATACAATTAAGCCAAGGCGTCTAGTCTGGTCAGTAGTCTTCAATGGGTCATCAGCATCTGCAGTCACATTGCACCAAAGTTATACATGAACATCCTGATATAATTCAGGGAGCAAATCATTATAAATAAGCCATCCAACATGTCACCAGATATAAATATAGCATCCTTTCACATTTACTGATGTTCACAAGCAGCAAAAATGACAAGGATGTACATGCCCCAGATTGACAGCGTGTCAAATGCAACCAAGACACACTATTGTGTAGCTCAGAAACCAATGAAGACAAAAGAATGCAGTACAAACTTATGTGGCAGATGGAGCAAAAGGGAGTGATAGAAACCAGATCTTATAGCATAATCCCTATTACCATATTCTCAGGGGAGGGGAGGGAGAGGAGACTGCAGAATATGAAAGAAGGCTGTTGATGTCAGAGTTGCGGCTATATTTACAGTGACATAAATCATTCTTTTAAACTTAAAAACATTATAGAGTAATATTTCATACGAAGTATTTGTTATCATTGTATTTACTGATGATTTCCGATTCGAAAATAAATAGATTGGAGTTAATGTTGTGATGTTTAACGAGGTTAATGACACAAGATCAACTAATCCTAAGCTAAACAATTTTGGGCTGATGGGTCACCAAACTAACTCAATTACTCACAAATTGTGATAAACAAAGAAATAGGGATCATGTCAAGCAGCTTCTTTGGGCAATAATCGAGTTGGGGGATTTAAGGAGATAGACTCAGACGGATATTATGTAAATGCTTACCAATACAAATCCTTTTAAATTTTGCCACAATTTAACACTAATCCCTAACAGTCATGAGTTTAATTTACGTATATAGAAAATGGCCTGTTATACTGCTTTGGAGCTCCAAAAAGTCTCCTAAACTATTTTTGAGGTATTCCTATAAGAAGCATGTGAATGATTAATAGCGTTTTGGAGGGACTATAACTGATTTGTCTCGAGTATTGGTATAGTTTCAGTCAGCATTCTAATACCCAAAAACACTCCACCCTTATTTACTCTTAAGATTCTTTATTGACTCCCAAGAAATTATCGCAAATTGAGACGAGCCTTCGAAATGGACACTATTAACCCCATAGGATATGATGATCTATTGTTCATATAGCCAATAAGAACCTCAAGCATCCTTGTAAGCCACTTCAGACACACTAAGAGTTCTCTATAATCTTTTTCTAGGTATCATATCAATGGCAAAGCCAAGATTATAAGGTTGGGATGGGACGAAAAATCTAAGTATTCACTAATGCAATTACTACATTGTTAAGTACAAGAAAATGCATACAGTATGGAAAATATGGCGCGTTTGGGCATCATGAGCCAAAGATAGCAGTTAGCAATTATCAATAATACGGCTCTTTCATTTATGCTCTAGCTTTTTGATGAATTGAACAAATGGTTTTTTCGCTCCATGAATTCTAGATCAACTCACCAAAAAAAACCAACAAAAAAAAATGTGACATAATTTCTACGCCAAGTCCACAAGAGACGGGGATTTGGCGATTTGCAAGTATATTTTACAAAAACAGCAATAAAGTTCATACCTCTCAGATATTCAACAGCTTCATCCAGCACAAGGTTCAGCAACTGGTCATATCCCTTAAGTGTCCCAGTCACTGTGAGAAAAAAACAAATAATTAACAGGTCACTGCCATTTTATCTAAGAGAATGACCCAGTAAACAATTTACAAATTCTCCTTCTATTCCTTTAGTATAGTCAATACTAAGGAATAGTGGAAATCAAGCAACTGTACAATTTAATGATAACTAAATTTAACAATACAATTAGGACAAAAAAATACTACCTCCGTTAACTTTTATTTGCAACTTAGGGTATTATTTGTGAGATATAAAATATTCCAAAGTTGCAAATAAAAGTTAACGGAGGTAGTATATGTATTTGACAATGCAAATAGGATAGAGGCAGTTATAAGAAAAGTTAGAGAACATTAGCTAGACAGCTGACATTGATCAATCTTTACAAAGCAACAAACAATGACTTGTGCTCGATGAGATATCCCTCTCTAGTCAGGCTCCATAATCAACCAACATCAATGATCAAAATTATTGGCTAACTTATTTCAGGTTACAAAGCAATGCAAATTTCTGACAAAATTATGGCTATATAGCAGATAATATCTCCTTAAACCAGTCAATGTATCTCAGCTGCCATGCATGTATGCATATAATCTTCCTAAAACATTACAGATCATTATACCTAGACCTTAACATAACCAAGCCAATGTGACAAAATTTGGGATTATTTAATGCCACTCCTTAGATTTACACAGAATTATGCCATGTAAAATGACATCAGCAGTAGAAGCACAATAAATAAAGTAAACAGAGAGCCATACAATTTGTCTAGCACACAGATGTAAAGATGTATAAAGAGCCAACAGAGATATTGCCAACCCTAGATCTTATCAAAATAGATAATATATGCACGTAGAATGCACAACAACCAGTTTTCATCTTTATCATGTTGGCAAGTTTGCAGTAAGACTCAAGTTACTGGCCAGTGACCAGTTTGCGACCATTCTACTTCAGTTTATGCCACATATTTTAATGAAACTCTGTCCCCATTTTTTTGCTCCATCGGAAATAAATGGGTCAAACTGTAAAAACTTTAACCATAAATCGCAATTAATCAACAAGAGATAATATAGTCATGTAGTGTCTTGTTAGATTCGTCTTACTTATATTTTATTAATATCAAGTTTTTATAATTTTTACACGTATAGAAATAAAGTTATATAGGTTTTAAAATGCGTCTCGGAGACCGTAAAAAGTCAAAAGGGGCAAAAAAAATAGGAATAGAGGGAGTATTTATGTCGTCACAAAAGGTTACGTATATTTATCATCTATCAAATTTCACCACTTAATAAGAAAAAGTAACTTGTATAGTTGCATTAGAGAGAAGAGGCAGGAATAATACCTTGTCTTCCACCAGTAAGCTTGACTTGGACCCCCTTGTCGACAAACTTGGCAAGATCTAAAACTGTTTCCTTTCTACTAGACTGAAAGATGCATTTTTCGTTATAAAGAGAAATAAGCAGTTAGGCACTGAAAGCAAGTAAACAACAGACCCAAGCAAATAGAGCAGACTAGCCACTTGTTAAAATGTTCCATCAAATGAGAGATACAATGTCTGATGAAATTCATTTAGTCATAAACTTTACTCCCTTTGAGCCCCAGATCATCCAGCAATAGGAAACAAATGAGCTTAAATTGTAAATGATAAAATTAAAATGACATCAGGACCTAGTAATGAGAACATTACCATGATGGTTATCGTTGGTTATACAGTGTCCTTGTTGTGAGAAGGCAGCTGAGTGATTATTGTAGGTCAGACCTGAACATGTAAGAATTTGAGTAAGTGAATGCACTCTTTATCTTTCACCCAATTCAGACATTTCAAACCGACAAACTTGAAAGAAAAACCAAAAAAAGGAGAGAAGACAAAATGGGAATTTTTCATCACAAACTATCACTGATCAAGTGACCTCACACTTTTTTATGTTTCGGATAAACAAAAGCGGGTTGCAGGAAAATTGTAAGTTTTCAGGGTGTATAAAGAGAATCTGCTCCATCAAATTAATAAAATAGCATTTTTGGGAATGCAAAATTATTTGGGTACTAATGTATATAATCCCATAGCATAGACCCTCGGTCTCTCACTTTAAATTCACAGTTACCCTCCCTTCAAATACTTTCTGCACTATTCTTCCAAGTGACTATGCAGCTCAGTGTGTTTGGATGATGGCAGCAGTGAGTGCACAGCCCTCTCCTCTGGGTGTGAAGTTAACCCTAGCCCCTAATCTCAATAATTTTTTGTGGACTAATTCCAATCCCAGCTACTTAATTCACCACCCATCACTAATGTGCTATAAACCAGCTATAACAATTTGATGCTATATTCTTCCTTTTATAGTGACATTCACTACCATCATTGGTTTTCTTTCTTTCTAGTCTTTGATCTCAGGTGAAAAACCCATTTCTTTGAACAATAAATACTGAACAACAAACCCCGGATCACCCAAGAGGTCACAAGCCCACAGCTCCAAAGTAACAGTTATATAAACACGCCAGTTCGACCGATGCCTTTACACACATCAACTACATGAAAGCAATACTATGCTATGAATTTCATTCACTAGTCTCCAAATCCTACAAAATGACTCTTTTATTCTTTTGTAGACTGTTCGTCGTAGTATTAGGTATTCGACAAAGCATCATTTGTAATACAAACTAAAAACAAATAAATGGTTTTGCCGATTACTCTCAATTTCAACAGAAATATAGCAGGGCGGCAGGGCCGGGCGCCCCGAGCCTATGTTCATAGTTCCTTCCTAGCAATATAACGATTATAAACAATATCCTGCAACACTTTAGCAACCTAATCTGACTTCATTATCAACTTAGGCTCGAAAAATCGCATACAATTCTTCAAGCTTTAGAATATCAACGTATATTGGACGTATAAAAATTCTATCATCAAAATCGCTCGTTATAATGTTTCATAGCTTCGGTAATTATAATCAACAATTTAATACCATGTTGAAGAACCCTAAATTGAGTATACTAAATTACTGACAAATCAAATTAACGATAGTGTAAAGCTAAATCCTAGATTATGAAATCGGTATTCGATAATTAAGGCAAGAAATTATCATCTTACCTGAGAAGTTGCTACAATGGAGGAGAGAGAGCTCGGAAGCCAATTCAATGGAAATCCAGAGTACACTTCAATGGAGGAGAGAGAAGGTGAGAAGCAGCGCAGAAGTGAAAAATTGAAGCTGAAGAGGGAAGAAAACAAATACTGGAAACATAGGAGGCGTAGATTAGTGACACGGTCAGATCAAAATGAGATCGACGCTCATAATTCACTCTCAATCAAGTTTTCCTTTTACCTTTTTTTAACCCAAAAAAAAAATGTGATACATAATTGATTATTTCCAAAAAAAAAAAAAAAAATTGTTTTTCGAAGTTATGTCTCCATAGTTGTTGATTTTCTAAAGTGTGTCCATGTTTTTTTTTTTTTTAAATTACAAGATGTAACTTCCAACTTAAGGTGTTTATTTAATAGTACCCTCTAACGTTAACCTGACTTGAGTAATTGTGTTGATTGTTAATTATCTCGATTTAGAAAGAGATTTCACACCTAAATTGGGTTAGATTTTGGCCATGTTTGGTAAATGGCTTTTTTGTGGCTTTTTGGTTAGCTTTTTGGCTTTTGGTTTTTTTTATGATCTCAAACAGCCAAAAAATGTGTTTGGTAATTGGCTTTTTAGGCAGTGAAAAAGTTGGCTTTTAAGCCAAAATAAAAAAGCTGCTTTGAATAGTTTTTTTGTTGGCTTTTAGCTTGTTGGCCCATAAATTATCTAATAAACAGCCAACTACCAACAATTAATTTACCAAACATTTTTATAAACAACCAGCTTTAACGGCCAATTTCAAAAGCCATTATAAACAGTCAAACATACCAGCTTGTCAAATAAGCCAAGTGAACCAGCCAACAGCCAACAGCCACTTGTCAAACAAGGCATTTATATAAGGGGATTAACATTAACCATTTTTTTTCCACATTTTCATATCTACCTTTTTTTCTTTCTTCTAAATGCAATCATTGATATTTCAAGCTCTCAGTGTAATTCTTCTTCTTTTTTTCTCATCCGCTTTTTGTTACTTCCTATTTTTTTAAATTACTAACGTCTAAGTTAATAATTAACATATTGATTTCAGGTATTGGCTCAAAAGTGAGTCAACCCTTTTTTGAACCGGTTCAATTTTTGGAGTCTAATTTGGGTATTGAGTCAAATGACTAGATCATGTGAAGAGTAGTGATAGACCACTATCAGGTATGGGCTCGTTGGGCCCATTACGGGGGCAAAAATGTAATTTCACGTATTACTTACCCATGCTTTAAAAATGTAGTTTCTCTCCTCTCAATAACAGTATTCAACACTATAATAACAATATAGAAATTATTAATAACTAAGCTCCGACAACCAATTACCGTCGTCAATTTCGATCGATCGAACTCAGTCAATTTCCAGCATAGAACTCATCGTTTTTACTGGTTAGAGCCATAAGTTTGTGTCTCTAGTTTTCTAGTTTTTGGGTGGTTTCCAGTGATTTTTAACGGAAGTAGTTGCGTGTTTTTGGACTTCAACCAAGGTAATAGTTGGTGGGGTGGGTTTCTTGCGGGGCGGAGGTTTGGCCGACAATGGGAGCTATCCATGGAGGTGGGGAAAGGGTTTAAGGGAGGAAGAAGATGAAGAGGCGAAACGGGAAAAAAATATATTATGGTATTAGGTAGAAGGACCCATACCTGGGAGTGGGCTAGAGTTCCTTGTCATGTGAATAGAATGTACCTTAATAATGCACAATTGCATGTTCCCTCTCACTCTAATTTAATCAATTAAAGATTTAAGGTTGTACTGTATTGTTTTCTTTTAGAGTTGGCTATACTAGGGGTGAGCAAACCGGGTACCCGGCCAAAATTTTAGGACCTGGACTTAGAGTTGGTTGGAACCGGGTCCTAAAATTCGGATCCGGAATTGGAATTGGTTCAACCGGGTCCTAAAATTTAGGAATTGGTATTGGAACCACCGGGTACCGGTTCCAGTTCCGGGTACCCACTTATGTACGTAATTGTTAAAATATAATACGAATTATAATTCTTATTTTAGTTAGGTTCATTTTAAGCGCTTAATACTTATATATTTATATATGCATTAAGCTATTTGTATTTATGTTAGGTATTAGTAATACTTTTTTAATTTACAAATTAGATACATTCAACATATTTTTATTATTTAAAAATTATTTATTTTAGGCATATATTAGGTAACCGGGTACACAACCGGTTCCTGTTGCAAAAAGTTGAAAATTGGAATTGGAATTGGAATTGGAATTGGTTATAACCGGGTCCTTAGTTTATTACCTGGAATTGGAACCACAGGGTCCAATTCCCAATTATGATTCCGGACCCGTCGGTTCCAATTCCGAGTATCCGGAATTTTTGCACACCCCTAGGCTATACTATACCTTATATTGTTCAAACTTACAACCTTTTTTTATAAGTCTTTTAACCAATTGTGGAGCCATAGGTACGAAATAGTGGTATTAATTATAGCTCTTTTAACTTAAAAACCACTTGCTTTTTTCATTTTGTATGTGAATCAAGGTAAACCAAGTGATTATTTATAGACCTTTCTTCCACTTAATATTATCAAATTTTAGTGTACCAAAATCATATTTCGATTGTTTGATAGCCCAACATGGCGTAAGTCAAAACGAGTGGATTGGTTGATGAATATAACGGGTTTTAGTGTTTTACCCACCCGTCAGTCCGTCACAGACGAATAACGGGTACAAGGAATGTTGTAAGTAAAGCGTAATCATGTGAGAACATTTCCTTAACAAAGTACGAATGTCCAATAATAGAGATGGTACCAAGAATTAAAGATGAGCAATACTGTATTAATTTTGTAGGCCCACTAATTTCTGTCTACCAATACAACTGAATTGATTACTTCTTTTGGGCTTTCCAAAACTCCACCTTGATTGTGGACGAATCTGTTCATTTACTTTCTCAACAGTCAAGTGGAGATGCATTTAACATTTCTTGCAACAAAATGTCACTTGCATTTAAGAAAGTGGTTAGAAAAGGTTATGAATGAGCTAATCTTAAAGACTAAACAGTAAAAACTTAATATTATATTTTTATCGGTGATAAAATTATCTTAAATACTCCGTAATTCATTAATTTACTTAATCATAAATTTCGTATCTTTCTTAAATTGGTCAATCGCTTGTAGTACTTTTATTATATGATCGCGTGACATAATAGATAAGTAGTAGAGTCAAGTCATGAACAAGGTTTGCAAATATTTAAGTTTTAGTAACTTCAAAACAAATTTACCACTTGTTTACTACCAATTCATTGGTAAAACTCTATTTTCAAACCATAAAAACCAAAGGGTCCAACACAATCCTTAAGTTGACAATGCAACTTGTTTTTAATCAAAACTATGTTTAACAAAAGTATATTAGTGACACGTATATTATTCTAATAGGAAGAGTATAAATAAATGAAGAAGTACAACATAGTTGTTTTACAATACAAATTTAATCAATTTATGAATGTTGTATGACTTAGTGTAATGATTATGATGGAAAAACATATCTTAAAAATAATATTTTGTATATATTTAAAAATATATGATAAAATTACGGGTAAATTGGTGTTATTAATCCTCAATATCAACTTCTTAATCCCTTTTATTTTTTTTAATTTCCTTATATGCAATCAAGAAATGAATTATTATTTCTTTTTATTAATGATATTTTATTCATGTTGGAAAGTAAATATAGCAATAGTGGCTTGTTAAAATAGGTTGCCTCTTATGGCCAACAAAGAGACAAAAAGTTTAGTACCATCAATTGTTTTCATGAGTCGTTTTTATAATTAAGGTGGAAATGTGGGATAGTTGGTGCAAATAATTTCTTACAAAAGTATAATTTTATTGCCCGACATTTTTTTGCGAAGACTTGAGGTGCAGTGGACTATCTAACTATCTAAGTGACAACTACCGGTCACCATCACGATTCTTACTCCGTCAAAATTCATCAATTTCCATTCTTATTATTAGCAATCATTTTCAATTTATCATCATTCATCGCTTCATCACTAGACTTCCAATTTAATTATTATGTTCATAGTAAAATATTAAAATAATTACTCCTTTACTATTTTTAATTAGTCTAAATGTCATACGGAGTAATTATTTATTTATTTAATTAGTACCAGTATTTATTTTTTAAAGCAAAGGGGAAAGGGAGCATATTATTATGTCAAAAAGTCAAATCAAACAAGATCGAGTTCTATCAAGTCAAACATTCCTAACAGAGTACAGGCATAAATCAACAAAAATATGATCCACCCCATCCATTCTAAGGCTCCAATCTAGCAGCAACATCTATCCCCATTCTTTTAATGTGATTACTAGGGAAAAAAAATCAAAATTATAGGCTACTAAATAAGTATCTTCGATGATCATACTACAAGGCGTCTTCCTCCATACAAACTTAACAAACCTTACTATGTAAACTGTTACTTCGTACTACATATTATATCTATCTTCAATTATTGTTTAAGTATCAATGTAATTAGCTTTTAAGTTAAATAAGATTTCATTTAAAAAAAAAAAACAATGATCAAAGGTATGTGATGACAAACACGTACCAAATTACAGTAACTATAAATTAATTGCTACATACAATTTTATGGAATAAGTCATGCATGTAATTTTAATAAAACAGTGCCTAATTGTACATTCTAGACAGACAAACAATGATCTTGACAAGATGTCACAATAAATTCATCAAATTAATTTATTTATAGCTTAGCAAGTGCCTTTCAATTCCTCCTTCCCCCAAAACTTGAAAAATGAGTCTATCAGAACGCTTTAAAAATACAGAAGTTGCTTTCAATTAAATAAATATATAAAAGATTAAAACATACGTAGTATAATACTTGAACAATAAAATAATTCATCAATATAAAATTTAATTTCAGCTAGGTTAATGTTTTGATCTTCAACTTTGCCCTTATGAAAGACTAGCTAGTTGCCTATTTGTCTAATTATTTGATTTTTATATTTGTGATGATAGTACAATCACTACCTTGTTACTTGTGTCAATTACTAGATTAATAATGTCCTCTAGATCCAAACATACAAGTATTACATACCCATCACACCCCTGGGCCTTGGCTACTATTAGAAGAATACTTTTTTTTTTTTTTTTTTTTTTTTTTTTGGAGGGATTGAAGAATATTTACTTATGA